TTCCTGATCCTTTGATCTGTATGTTCATCCTTATGCCAATATCACACCATTTCCATTATTATAGCATTATATTAAGTCTCCAAGTCAGGTAATGTAATTTCTCCAACTCTATTCTTATTTTTAAACAACATTTTGGCTATTCTATGCACTCAAACTCTCAGGTAATTTTAGAATTCACACAGAAATTATAGATGCTGATTCTAATGTTGGGAAAATAAAGGCCACCAGGAGAAAGAAAGAGATACATGAAGTAAATGAAGGATGACACTTGCAGGCTGTAGGTTATAAAACAGTCATAAAGTGTTAGTCTTGGGGGGATTTTGGTTATAATTTAGTCATTACACATATGTGAACACTTAAGACTGCTGGCTAGTTTTCATATGGCCAGCATCTCTGTTTCTCCCTTCTCTCTGTTCTCAGTCCTTCTGGCTTGAAGGAGACTCTCTCCTTGGCCTCTGAGGTTCCCATGGGATGTTCCGAGAGTGCCTGGGGCCTCACCTCACCGTGAAATAGAACAGTAAAGCCAGAGTTTCTAGGGAGAGATGTACAAGCCCAGCACAAAGTACATTGCTCCCGTTGAGATTCATATACAAGCCTTTCCTTTCCAGATCAAACATTTCAACACCTAGTCGGTTGTACCAAGTCATTTAACAAACATTTTTAAGCATCTACTTTGTGCTGGGCACTATTCCTGGCCATGAGCTGTATCAGTGGACAAAACTCACAAAAAATACCTCCCTTTCTGGAGCTAATAATCTAATGGTGGAAAACAGAATACAAGCAAGAAACATAGTTCATAAGTAGAAAATTAAAAGTTGATGGATACCCTAGTAAAAGGCCAGAGCTGGATAAGAAGATAAGGGATGGGGGAGGAAATATTGCCATTTACAGTCAATTGGTCAGATACTCAAATGAATGCTTTGACACCAATGTTCATAACTGCACTATTCACAATAGTTGAAGGTAGAAGCAATCCAAATGTTCATGAATGAATGGATCGATAAACAAATTGTTGTATATTCATACAATGGAATATTATTCAACCACTAAAAGGGATGAAGTACTGATACATTCTTTAAGATAGATGAACACTTTGAATACACTATGCTAAATGAAGGTACTTACCAGATGATTCCATTTATGTGGAATATTCAGAAGAAGCACACTCATAGAGGCAGAAAGCAGACTGGTGGTTGCTAGGGGCTGGGAAATGAAAGGAAGGGGAAGTAATTACTAATGGGAGTGGGATCTTATTTGGAGTGATGAAAATATTTGGAAACTAGACAGAAGTGGTGGATCCACAGCATTGTGAGTATACTAACTGCTACTGAATTGTCACTTTAAACTGATTCATTTTATGTATTGTGAATTTAAGCTCAATAAGAAAAAAAATATTCAGAAGCAAAAGGAAGTAAGGAAGGAAGGAAAGAAAGAAAGAAAGAAAGAAAGAAAGAAAGAAAGAAAGAAGAAAGAAAATTAACCAGTCAGGGTAAGTCTTTTTGAGAAGGTACCACAAGAACATTGACTTTGGGGAGGTGAGAGAGTTAGCTTGGTAGGACACTGGAAGAAGCTGTCTAGACAGAAGGAAGAGCAAGCGTACAAACTGCACTGTTGTGTTCACAGTTGGAAAGGAGGAGTTGGGAAAATGATGAATAGCCTCAGACTGCATGGGCCCTCATGGGCTGTAAGAGGGTTTGCTCTTCCTCTGGGTGAGTTGGGAAGGTATTGGAGGCCTATACAATCTGATTGAGGTTTTAATAAAATTTCTGGAGCCTCTTTATTAGGAACAGCCTGAAGAGAACTGGTGGAAGAATGGGTAACTATTATAAGCTATTGTGGAAGTCTAGGTGAGAGACTATGGTGGCTAGGGAGAGGAAGGTGGCAGGGGAAGTGGGGAAAAGTGGTTACAAATAGCCTGTGTTTGAAGGCTAAACCTATAGGATGTCCTGATAGGTTGCAGATCAGATGTGTGAGAAAAAAAAGAGTCTACCACACATGGTGAGTTTTGGCTCAAGCAACTGGAGGGTTGGAGTTGCCATCACTGATATTGAAGAATGTGGGAGAAGTTGCTTTTTTTAGGGGTAGGCAGGGAAAGAGCATTGAGAGCTCCTAGAGTTTGAAGTGTGGCAAAGAAGAATCAAAAGATAAATACTTTGCCCACGGTGATGCAGTGGATGGTACTGACCACAAAAGCCTTCTCCCAAGACCGCCTATCATCACACAGGACCTGTCCCCCCATCTGTTACAGGTTCTACAAACACCCATCAGGAGAAATGGGAGGAAAGTGACATCCAAAATACTCTCTAATGAAACGGGGCAAAGATTTACTCTGCTTATTCTTGTGTTACTGAGTGAGAACCTGACTCACTTGGATTCATGTATGTGTAACATAACAAAAATGTCCTCACTTTTGACTTGGTTTATAGTTAAGAACAGCCCATACATAGCCAGGTCTGGAGTATGATACTTACATCATGATTTAGTTATGACACCAGGCAAGACAAATGGAGAAGTCTTGCACCATATCTTGTCAGTTATGAAATATTTGAGTGCCACAGGCCAAATGCAAGTTGCTAGCTATTACTCTGAAAAATAAGGGCTTTGGGTTTTTGTTTATTTTTTTTTAGCAGAAATGTCAGAGAATTAGATCATAAATAGGGACACACTAGATTTCAAAATTATAACCCAAAATCAGAGGACAGAACAAAATTGTGTCCAAATTAGGTGAGATTAATTTTTAAAATGAAAAGTAGTTCTGAGAAATCTTAAAAAGAAGGTACCTGCTAGAGAAACAAGCAGACACTGAAAGCTTTCTGCTTGATAGAAGTTAATGAGTGCTCAAAATCTCTGTTTTATTTATTGGTTAGAAGCCCTTGCCTTTCACATTTTGTCTGACTGAGCTATTATGACTTACCATATGTTTATGTTGGATGGTGTCATAGTAGTGAGCAGCCAAAGTGGTTTTAGTTATTTATAAAAAAGAAGCTTTTGGGAAATTAGACTAGCTTATTTTGTTTAATAACCCAGCCCACAATTATAAGAAAGAAAGCTTTACGGCTCTATTTTTTTCTTTTTTAGTTGATATTCAAGAAAAAAAAAAAAAAAAAAAGAAAGCCTTGGCTTTGAGGTTCAACAAGTTTGGTTTTAACCCTAGCCGCAAGTGAATGAGTTTGGTGTGATGATTTAACCAGTCTCATCCATGGCTTTTATTTTAGTATATAAAATTTGAATGGTATTGATAAAAAACACTTCAGAACTTTGAGTGGAAGGACTTAATCATTGAGTGAATTACTAAATTATCTTACAATAATCATTAGATTTTACTAAATGCTTCTGTAAGCTTTTATGATCATGTCAAAATTCTAACTGAAACCTTATTTTTAACTAAGAAATCTTATTTGAAACTAGGAAACCCATGGAAGTGTGGTCTAGTCTCACGAAGAAATGCCTACATTTAATCAAAATTTTTGAAAGATATTTTAGTATGCGAAATAAAAGTTCATCTTCAAGTATAAGAACATTTAGGTTCATATTATTTTATTTAACAAAATGCTATCTAGAGTTTAACCATGCTCTGGGCACTGTTCCAAGGTCACCTGCTCCTGATTCTGTTATCTCAGCGTGAAACTCATACGATCTTAATAATGAGAGCTTGGACAACTAAATTGAGAATAGAAATAAGCAGACCCAATCCCTCAAATTGACACCAAACGTCACATGATAAATCTCCTAACCATGACAAGACTTTGCATTTCTTCCTCTCAGAGCCTGTGACTGATGTCCAAATTATGACTGAAACCCCATGCAGATGGAGATGCCTGCTCAAGAGCATTGTCAGCCACAATGCTGGGGGGAAAGAAAATCTACTAGAACCCTTTGTTAGCAGCACCTCCTCTCGCCACCTTGCTCACTCAGTGGCAGTGTGACCTCGTGGTTAGGTGTCTAGCCTTTAGAGACAGCCTGCTTGGGTTCTGTCTCTTAGCAGTATGTGACTTGGCCAAGGTGCTCAACTTTTCTGGGCCTAAGTGTTCTTATCTATAAAATGGGCATTATTACAATAGCACCTGCCTCCCTGGGTGTTGTGACAATGAAGGAGTTAACACATGTAAGTCACTTAGAACAGAATCTTGGCACAGAGTGAGTTCTAGACAAAGCTTAACTATTATCATTATATTATTGTGTGGGTCTGCAATTAGTCCCTGAATCCTTTGGGGATGTGATAAGTTTTAAAAATGAGTTGCATTTACTCATAATAGAGTCACTCCATCTATGCATAGCTGAAATCTAATTTTGCAATTAACATGTGTTTTGCATGGAGTCGAAGAGTTGAAGGTATGGTCTTCCTTATAGGGCCTCCCGTGGTAACCTTCTTACTCATAGTTTCCCTCTATGCTCTCGAACTCGTTAGAAAAATTTCCCTTCTCCATCCAAACTGAAATGAGTCCCTACAGGGACTTAGAACTGAGGAGCTGAGATGCCGGGGAATCTGGCTTTGAGCATTTACAAATTTCTGGAAAGTCCAGCTTCCTTCTTGTTGCTTGTCTCCTCCTTTGTTTTTGGAACTGTCTACATCAAAGCTGCCAAAACTAGATGAGCTTGCTTGGCTAATGTCTGCCAAATGAAGTGTTGAGGGATATCTGGAAAGGCCAACCCAAAGCACCAGGATTTCAGTATCATTGAGAACCCGATGAGTAATAATATTAGGGCAATAAACAGCCAGTGTTATTTAGTTTGAGAAACTGATGCTAAAATAAGAGGAGGTAGTTTGATTATTTCCTCTTAAGGCATTACTCAGTGTTGTCCTTATGTTTAAATATTTATGTACCAAGGTCAAGAATTCTTGGTACATGATTCACCAGGACTTTTGAACAGTCATAAATCGTGGCTAAAAATCAAACTTCAGTGTGGGTGGAGTGATGAATTTCAGGACGTCTTTGAGTGTCTCCTCTTCAAAATATAAGAGAGAGGCCATACACCTGAGGAGTCTTCAGGGCAAGAGACTCGGGAGCTGGAAACTATTCCTTGCTCAGTCACAGACTTGGATTTTATTCCCTTCTGCCTTTCAGTTTGGGTAAGCCTCAATTACTTATCTAAAGTTTATAATAAAAACTTGTCCATATAAATAATAGGAAAAGTGCCAACAATTGATGTTTAGCGGAAATGTGCTTTCTTGAACTATATATATATATATATATTAAGCGATGTTGTATCTGTCGCTCTGTTTGCCAATTTCTGTATTAGTTCAATCCCTCCCGTGCCTTTTTAAGAAAAAAACATCTAGTTAAATTTTTCTTTTTTGAAAGGAAAAAGAAAAGCATGTGATATTTTTCACAGACCTTCGACAATTCTTAGAAAAATTTTGGTGAATCTTGGGGACAAGCTGAGGCGGGACACATTTTGTGTAGTGTCTAGGGCAATCACTTGATTAACACTTTACCAATCACTTTCCTATATTTTTAGTTGCTTTGTGATGACTACCTGTGTATGTGTCTGCATGTGGGTCACACATGTGTGCAGGCAAGTCCCCAGCCTATGTGGATATCTGTGGATTTATGTTAGCATTTATAACATTGTATTTTCTAGGGTCTGTTGAAATATAGTTTTAATTTGTTTCAAAAATGACAACTACTTTTCTTTCCTCCTAATTCATCTTCTTCCAGTCCATTCTCATGATACTAAGAAATAGTACAACTATTGCAAGGCCTCTGTTGTCCAAAGGTTCAGTAGGAATAAATGCAACCTCTCATCAACCTCCTAGGGGAGACCTTCACCATCATATGTCACGGATTCACCTTGAATAATCTCAACAAGCAAGTTGCTCAAGTTACTAACACTTGTTCTGGATTGATAAACTGACAATGAGACTTTGGGTCTTGGCACTTCTGACAATTCTTGAACATTACACAGAAGCTAAGTTTAGTAAGTACTGCTTTTCTTTCTTTCTTTCCTTCTCTTTCTTTCTTTCTTTCTTTCTTTCTTTCTTTCTTTCTTTCCTTTCATTCTTTCTTCTTTCTTCCTTCCTTTCTTTTTCTTTCTTTCTTTCTTTCTTTCTTTCTTTCTTTCTTTCTTTCTTTCTCTCTCTCTCTCTCTTTCTTTCCTTCCTTCCTTCCTTTTTCTTTCTTTCTTTCTTTCTTTCTTTCTTTCTTTCTTTCTTTCTTTCTTTCTTTTAAAATTTATCTATTCATGAGAGACACACACAGAGAGAGAGAGAGAGAGGCAGAGACATAGGCAGAGAAAGAAGCAGGCTCCCTGTAGGGAGCCTGATGTGGGACTCAATCCCAGGACCCTGGGATCACGCCCTGAGCCAAAGGCAGACGCTCTTCCACTGAGCCACCCAGATGCCCCTAAGTACTGCTTTTCAACTAAAATTGTAAAATTGTAAAATTAATTCCAAAAACATTTCCCTTTTTTTTAAAAAAAGATTTTATTTGAGAGAGAGCATACATAAGCTGTGGAAAAGAGCAGAGTCAGGGGGAGAAGCAGACTCCCCCTTGAGCAGGGAGCCCAATGTGGGACTCCATCCCAGGATCCTGGGATCATGATCTGAGGGGAAGGCAGACGCTTAACCAAATGAGCCACCCAGGCACCCCATCATTTAACCTGTTTAAAACTGCTTGCTTCTGGTTGTTCCAGTTGAACTGAAACCTGGAAAATTCATTTATGCTCTACAGCCATTCTGTACTACAAATCTATAAGGAAAAATTCTTCACAACAAATATATCATAATTTTAGCTTTACATAATTTTAAAACATGCGTAGGAGGCGCTGTAAGCATTTGTTGCCCTGCAGCATACTTCCTAGAGACGGATGTGGCTGCTTTCCCACTGGAGCAGTGAAGGAGGGTTAGCTCCAAGTTAACTCTATCTGTGGTACCCATCAGAACAGTTCATAAAAGATCTTCATCATTTACTATTCTTTCTCAGTGACATGTCACAAAGAGTGGTTGATTTCTAGACCTAATCGTAGAAGGATAGAATATAGCAATTATAATGTCCTTCTAGATCATTTCAGGATCAGATTTATGTGTTGTTTGTTTCTTGTATTTGCAGGAAAATCATCTTGGGGGCTGGAAAATGAGGCTTTAATTGTGAGATGTCCTAGGCAAGGAAAGTCTCGGTATTCTGTGGATTGGTATGACTCAAAAACCAACGAAAGTATAACCACGCAGAAAAGAAATCGTGTATTTGCCTCGGGGGAACGTCTTAAGTTTCTCCCAGCTGAAGTCAAGGATTCTGGAATTTATACTTGCATTATCAGAAGGTATTAACCAGGCAGCCACCATGATCTTTGTGCTTGTTCCCCTTCCTTTGATAGTTGATGGCGTGAGCTCTCCTCCCTTTCCTTCCCTTTCTAGACCTTTGTGGGACTGTTGATTTTATAAAGTGGTTTAAATAGAAGAGTACTTCTAGAAACACCATCAGGTTGGGGTTTGGGTGATTATGAACTATTTAGAGGGAGAACTGCAAAAATTAACTTGTAGCCAATTAGGAAATGACTTAGCTTTCCTAGTGACCAAGAGAATTGAGAGCAATATCTCACTTTGGCTGGAAGTAAGAACAAACTAGCAAAAAAGACCCAGCAATCTGGATGTCAGGCATCAAGGAGGCCTAGGGTGGGTGCCAAAGGGCAGTTACCAATGGCTTAAACCTGAGAGGTAAGCTGAGGGGGGTTATGTACAATCGTGTGCCTGCGGATTACTTACCATACATATACATCTTTAAATGTTTTGATCTTGTGCTTGGATTTGGTACACTATATCAGATGAACTACATCAAAATGCAGTTAGACACCTGGGTTCTGAGGTCAGACCATTTTAGTTTCAAATTTGAATTCTGTTGGCTGTGTAAAGCCAACAAGTGACTTTTCTGTCCCTCTGTTTCCTTATCTATAGAATACATATGATAATACAGCCTACCTCAAAGCATCCCTATGAGAATAAAATGATGTCATGTTAGTACCATGAATGGTCCATAGTGAACTGTCAATAAATACCAATTATCTTTATAATAGTCTGTTCTTGGCATGACAGCAGATACAGTGTATAAAGAAATGGCAAGGGAGTCATTTTCAGGGCTACCGGAGGGGTTATGTTTTATCTCAAATGCAACACAAAAAAGTATTTAGAACTCTAGATTTTAATAACTGTTTTTAAATAAGAAAAGAACCCCAGTACATCAATTATTTGAAGAAAAAAAAAGCAGTGTTACATAAAAGCTAGAATTGGATAAAGTCATTTCATAATGCTGAGTAACTTTTTAAATCATTTGACTTATTTTAGTAGTCCTACCACCAATAAGACTGGATATGTGAACGTCACCATATATAAAAAACAACCAGATTGCCGTATTCCAGATCATCTGATATATTCAACAACATCTGGATCAGAAAAAAATTCCAAAATATATTGTCCTACAATTGACTTCTACAATTGGACAGCACCTGTTGAGTGGTTTAAGGTAACAGGAAATTTGGGGGGAAATGGATGAGAATTATACAAAACAGGTGCAAGTAAAGAGTTGGCAAAAATGGAATGGAATTTTTCATTTCAGAATTGCAAAGTTCTTCAAGGACCAAGGTTTCACATACACAGGACCTTTTTGCTGATTGACAATGCAACTAGCAAGGACACGGGTGATTATACATGCAGATTTATGCACAATGAAAATGGAATCAATTACAGCGTGACAGCAACCAGATCATTTGTTGTGCAAAGTAAGCTACTGAATTTAAGAAAATAGAATATTTGAAAAAAAATAATGTAGGAGGAATTGTGCCCTTCTTGTTGATTTTCCTATAGACTCCTAGGGGACACATTCCGAACCCCCTACTGGATGCCTGAAACAGGGGATAGTACTGACCTTATATATACTACGTGTTTTCCCATCCATGCATACCTATGATAAGGTTTGATTGATAAATTGAGCATGGTAAGAGATTAGCAATAATAACTAATAATGAAATAGAATGATTACAATATACTATGATAAAAGTTACCATAGATCTTAGCAAACTCAGTGTATGATTATTTTTTTCCTTATTATGTCGAGAACTTTCACCTTTTCACTTAAAGCCTCTCTTTGGCTTTTCTGCGTTGCCAGCATCATGATTCTTGTGCATACTTGAGTAAGATAAGGGTCACCTGAACACAAGCCATGTGATACCATCAGTCTGCTCATAACTAAGATAGCTACTAAGTGACTAATGGGCATGTGGCAGACACAGTGTGGATGGCTGGACCAAGGGCCTATTCACGTCCTGGGTAGGACAGAGTGGCACACTGTGAGATTCTATCATTCTCTTTAGAACAGTGAGCAATTTAAAATTTATGAGTCGTTTCTTTCTGGAATTTTCAATTTCATCTTTTTGGGCCAAGATTGACTGTGAAAAGTAAAACTGGGAATCGGGAGCACTACTATACTTCATGATCCTCCCTAAGATGTCCTCCGGCTTCAGCTTATTTGAACATTCTCTACAATAGAGCAAAGAGCTTTTCTGAATGCACAATCAAGGGACATCTGGGTGACTCAGTGAAAGAGCATCTGCCTTTGGCTCAGGGCATGATCCCAGGGTCCTGGGATCAAGTTCCACATCGGGCTCCCTGCAGGGAGCCTGCTTCTCCCTCTGCCTATGTCTCTGCCTCTCTGTGTGTCTCTCATGGGTAAATGATTAAAATCTTAAAAAAAAAATAAATGCACTATCAAGATTTAAGAAATTTTAGAGGGAGATTATGCTACTAATCTAAAGCCAGATCTGTTCTTTCCTCTATGACTTAACTTTTCAAAGATGGCATGATCTGAATGTCAACTTAATAAACTTTTTTGGATGGCAATACAAGTATTTGCAGAGCCAGATTAACTTTTCTTTTCCCAATTTGTTGTCAGAAGTTGTGTAAATAGAAAAAAAATCCATTTAATCTCAAATATAATTAACTGGATTAGAAATTTAGTGACAAGTTCTATAAAGGGATAGAAACATATTGTGTGGTTTTTAACTGTCAGCCTGAAGCTGTCAGGAGGCAATAAATAAGCAAATTTGAAATCAAAGAATTGCAACAAATTTGGGTAGGAACCCAAATAGTGTCCCACTAGGGAGCAAAAGTCAGGGGTTTTTAAAGCAAAAAGGGAATGCCTGTATACTTTGTTTACTAAGAATTCTGTTGGGTATTGGCAGTGGAAAGCTAATCTTTACTAATATAATTGGTGACTAAGGCTATCACTAAGTGAGTCTCTTATTGTACCAAGTTGCAGATGTTTGAGCTCAGTCTTGGAATATTTGTGGTCTGACTAGTTCAAAAATTCATAGTTCCACCAGTGAGGACATGGGACCTATCTCCTTAATGGCTTCTTGGCTCTATTCCAAAACCTTTTGGCGTAAGTGGCACCATTCTATTTCACCTTTCGCACAATCCTGGTTTGCAATAATGTGTACATTATCAAGGACCTCAAGTAGATAATTTGATTCTAAAAAGTGTTTTTTGAATATTAAAGTCTATAAGACCCTATTCAGAGGAAATACCTCACAACCACACCTATCAAATCTACAAGGAATCAGGGTTTCCTTAGCATCACTTAATCCATGGATACAGATGAAGTAGCACCAGTGTGTGTGTGGCAGATTTCTCAGGGTAAAGTGACCGTGGAGACAGGTTTTTGTTTGGAAGGTTTACAGAACCTACTGAAACTGCTCTACCACTGTAGAGCACCGGACCACATTTCTTTTGATGTTTCTTATTGTTTAACATTGAAACCTGCTGGGATCTTTAATCACACTGTCCTGAAATAAATGGGAATCAAGGGGTGTAGGAATCAGCAGTGCTCCAGAAAAGCCCTTTCACTGTCTCTAGGCATGGGTGCCACAGCCAATTAGAATTTCCTTACGGGATGGGCCACAATGGTGGAAATCTGTGAGCGGAAATTATGGCTTACATGTTTGTCATATTCATAGGGCTTTTTCTTTTTTTCACTCAAAAAGCATTTAAGTACATGCTAATGTTTCATGGGACTTTTAAAATCTTCTTTACTGTAATGTTGTGCTTATTCTGTAGAATTATGGTTTTCTAGCAATTGCCAGGTCATGCAATTTATTTGATGTGTTGGTCTAACATTTGTTTTATTTATTTATTTTTATTTTTTTAGATTTTTATTTTTATTTATTCATTCGAGACACAGAGAGAGAGACAGGCAGAGGGAGAAGCAGGTTCCCATGCAGGGAGCCCGACGTGGGACTCGATCCCGGGTCTCCAGAATCAGGCCCCCAGGCTGACGGCGGCGCTAAACCGCTGAGCCACCGGGGCTGTCCTAACATTTGTTTTAATGATATAAAATAGATCAGGAAATATCAAAGAGTATCATAGGTAGTAAGATAAAGTATTACATGAATGTTTTCTTTTTCATTTGTGTGTGTATCTATTGCGGTGGGTCATTGTCAGAAAAATTTGAGGAGCATTGCCATGAAATAGGATAGAAATATGAAAATGCAAGCTTCAAACTGATGACCATCCAATGCTATCTTAATATTAATATTCTCTTTGTCTTTGATTTAAGATGAGGAAAGCCTTTCTTGGTTTCCAGTAATTCTAGCGCCTCCACAAAATGAAACAAAAGAAGTGGAAATTGGTAAGAAGACTTTAAGAATGCTATAAATGTTACCTGGAGAATCCTTCCATATGACCCTTGGTCTGAATTCCCCAGGCATGGGTCAGGCAGTTAACAGAATGGACCTTGGGGATTTAATGAAATGTCACGTAAAGAAGCATCCGCCCGGGGCACTTGCTAATATTAGGAATGCCCAGCATTTACATTTGTATTGTACTTGTAACTTGTGGTGCTTTCATAGTACTATCTTATTTCATTCTTACTTCTCTCCAGGAGGCAGACATTGTTCTCAATTTATACTTGTGGATACTTTGGGTCCAGTAGGATCAATAACATGCCCAAGGTTGTGGATAATCAATGATAGGATAAGAACTCAAACTTTCCGACTCCACCTATCTCTGCCTTCTCTGGTTCCCCACCAGAAATGAGATACAACTCAAAGTTTTTGGCCTAAAGACAAGTCCCTTCAAGAACTGGTTCCCACCGTATCCTGGACCATCTGCAACTATTAACCCCACGTGCCCCGTGTCCCCACCACACTGGCCTCCTCACAGTTGTTACACTGATGGGCAGCATTTCCACATTCTTTCTTGCTTTTTGTCCATTTGTTCCTCCTTCTCATCTCTCAACACTGAGCTCAAATACCATTCCTCATGCCACTTTCCTTACCTCCCTCTGGGAGCCCTATCCAGAGCCTCCATCCAGTCAGGTCCAAGGAAACCATTTCCGTGTAGAGCATGGCAGACCTGCTCCCTGAAATGACATCTCCCTCTGTATTCCCATGTCATTTGTCAATCTTTCTATAGAAGACTAGAATACCTTGTGTTTTAATCATTTGTGTGAACGGTTATCACCTTCTGAGACACTCTGCATTCCTCATCCCTCTTCAGATGCATTATTTCTTGACCCAGGAACCAAGGGCTCAGTGAGGGATGGCTGAATGCATGTTCCCAGGCAGGAGGGCAGTCCTAAGCTTTCAGTTCAGGGAGGAGGAAGCCTCAAGCAAAAGTTGTAATGGAGAATTCTCTTGAACAATTAAATACTGGGATTGGAGCTCGGTCAAGTTAAACACAGTTTTACCAACATAGTGGCTTCCAGAGAGATGAAGATAATTCAATTAAAGGAGAAAGGTGTAGAAGAGAGAAGTTACAAAGAAATTCTAATTTAGAGTAAAAAGAAGCCCCATCTTCTAATGTGGAATTGATGAAACCAGAGTTATTTCCCCCTTAGTTAATGCAATAGGTGAGAGGGGAGTGGGAGCAGAGTTTCCTTCAAACCATGACCAAAGGGGATAGAGGTGAGGTGAGGGCCCAGGACATGGAGGTGCTGATGATAAGGAAGGGGAATGGGATCAGTTCCTGGCACACACAGGGGGTTCTATTTTTTTTCACCCTAAATGCAATAGTATTGACAGAACTGAATGTTATTGGTGAACTTCTTCACTTCTCATCTAGGAAAACCAGCAAACATCCTCTGCTCTGCTTGCTTTGGGAAAGGCTCTCAGATGATGTCTGGTGTCCGGTGGTTGGTGAACAGAACTACAGCTCAGAACTTTGGTGAAGCAAGAATTCAAGAGGAACGAGAGCCAAATCAAAGGTATTTTTATACGAAAGTGAAAATATCCCCACACAGTTTGCAGCAGCCAAGTAAGCACTAAAAGTAACAGGTTGCCCTTTCAGTTTTAGCAATGAGATGACGTGTCAGAGCACCATTTTAAGAATAAATGACGTGAGAGAAGAGGATTTATCACTGCGGTATGACTGTCTGGCTCAGAATTTGCATGGCAAGATACGGCACACCGTAAGATTAAAGTGGAAAAGTCCAAGTAAGGAGTGCTCCCGAGACTTGGGTCACCCGAGTCAACTGCATCAACTGAGATAATTTTCTTAGGGAACAGTGTGCTGGAGTGTGGCTCCAGGGCGGGTGTTCCCCGACAATGGAAGTGTCCCATCTCATAAAATGTGCTCCTCCTCTTAAGGACACTGACCATTTGTAGTATGGGTCCCCTAGTTGCCTCTACAGCTTTACTTCCCCCTGCCCACCTGCCCCCCTCTGTTCTCCCTTCTGTCATCCCGCTCCTCTCCCTCCACTACTCCCCTCTTCTCCCTCCTCTTCCTTCTACTCCTTCTCTCCTTCCTCCCCCCAACCTCTCCTCTCCCTCCATCCCTCCTCCTTCTCACTCCTCCCACCCTTTGCCTCCACCCCTCCTTCCTCTCCTCCCCTTCCTCCTCCTCTGCCTTCTCTCCCTCCTCCACCACTCTCCTCCCTGTCCCCTCCCACCTTACCTTCTCTCATCTTAGTTCCTCTTTAACACTCAACTGCCTCCTTGGCTATCCTTCTGGTTTCATCAGCTCTCTCTGCCTCACTATATATGAAAGACAACACACTAACTGTAAACCGTTGAACATGCTGTTACCTTTCATGACTTTTATGACATGTTATAAACATGTCCCTTTTATCATTTTTTTTTTGGTCATAAAGCATGCACATTTTGTTAGTGAGGCTGGCAAAGTGGATGAAAAGGGGAAGTACTTAACTACTGCCCATCCCAGTGCGAACATCTTAGACACTACTTTGTAATAAGACATCATGTGCTATCGTTGCTGAATTTCAGAAAATAGCAAATTTATTTATTTATTTGTTTGTTTTTTTCTACTTGCAAGCCTAACGTATTTACTGTCTGGGCCTTTCCAGAAATAGTGAGCTCCCCCTGCAAAAAAAATTATTTGTGTGCTAACACTATACTGTCTTATTTACCGTATCTTTACAATCAACCTTAAATTTGGGTAGCATGAGTCTTCTTATTTTGTTCTTCATCAAGATTGTCTTGGCTATTCTTCAGCCTTCATATTGCCACATAAAAATTCTCTTCAGATGTATTTTGATTATAAACATGTTTTTCTACGAGTTATGTAGAAAGTTTTGCAACTTATTTTATAATTACTTAATTTATAGTAGAAATATTTCCATGATATGAAATGTTCTACACCAGCCTTTGTAAAGGCTTCATAGTATTCAGTTATACAGACAAACTCCCATTTAATTCAACAAATACATTGTTTGACTACATGTCTCTCTTTTTCTGTCTTTTTAAAAATTCAATTTATTTAAGCTAAAACAAGGAAAAAGAAAATAGTTCACTTATTTCTCCCACCTCCTCACCCCTTTCTCTGGAACTACAATCTAGATACAGGTGAAATTCACAGGAAATCTAGTAGCTCAGCTCATTTCTTTACTGTATCTGTTATTCAACATGCAATTCAGGTACCTTTTATGAAGAGCCTTCCTTGGCCATTAGTTTGGAGTACATCTGTTTCTTTCAGTTGTTCCCATAGGGCCCTGTCCTATCTCTACACTCATCACACTTACAAAAATCTGTTTGGGAGTCTGCTGAACGTGACTATAAGCTCCAAGAGGGCAGGAATGACATCTCATTCGTCTTTGTGTCTTGGTCTATAGTGCAATGCCTGGTACCTAGCATGCACTCAACAAACATTTGTTGAATGAATAAATGAACACACACCAAAGTTATCAAGAAAAACCATTTTTTGTACATCTCCATGGCTCTAGCTTATAAGGCTTAATTATTCAACGAAATAACAATTTACATTTATGTTTGTTAAGCTGGATAACCTTCCCAGTGACTTCAAAAGGCCAAATTACTTATAACTTCCCTATAGGTTTATCTGAATCTAGCATGCCTTTAATGACTTCATTATAATTTGATGCAATAAAAGATAATTATAAAAAATAGGAAGCTGATTATTCTTCAATAGATCACATTCAGACACTATATATAATCTTTTAAAATGTAACATTCTCTTTCACAAATAATCAGCAGCATATGGAAGCAAGGTGCGGAGAATGATCTGTCTTGGGTATAGGTAACAAGAGGACACATTGTCTGTAAGAATCCAAAACAGTAATAAGACCATCAGAGAGTTTTTGTGCTTTTATTTTTTTAAAGATTTTATTTATTTATATGAGAGAGAAAGAGCACAAATGGGGGGAGCAGCAGAGAGAGAGAGAGGAGAAGCAGACTCCTCTGCTGAGCAGAGCTCGACTCGAGGATTGATGTGGGACTCAACCCCAAGACCCAGGGTTTATGACCTGAGTCAAAGGCAGATCTTAACTAACTGAGCTACCCAGGCAGCCCAGAGTCATTGCACTTTTAATCCTCACCTTTCCCATTGCTAACCAACGTCAGTAATGACACATTCCTCCTCTGGGGGGCAGAGTGCTTCTTCCTCCCACCCCCTTGGTATGTCACTGCTTGCAGTGATGTCAGCAAAAATAGTTTTACAAGCATTTCCTTCCTGAGCACCTGTCAACTTCCTCCCTTGTTTGCATTTCCAAGCAAAGACATCCTGTTTGTTAGATGAAGTATTTAATCCAGTATAAAAGGGCGAGGGGGAGAAAAATATGATATTTTTACACTTGTTATTCCATGCACAACTATGTGGAAATTACTTAATGTGTTTGTCACTTAGCCACGGGAAATTAAACCCTCAGTTGATAACCCTAAGTGGAATTATAGGCTGGATTAACTTGGATAAACATACAGAGGCACAACCTGATGAAAAAAAAATGGAGATGATGGAAAAGGAGGCCACCAATTTGATGTGTTTGTGATTAAGTCTCTACTTGAAGTGGTGCTTGGGATTTTTGCTTTAATTCAGACTTAAACCATCAATTTGTAAGTTTTTTTAAAAACAAAGAGAATCATGATATTGAGTGCTATCAAGTTCCACGGGTTGCCAGGTTTCACGCCAGGACATATGGACCATGTCACAATGTTCTATCTGGGCAGTCTGGTGGTGGGAGCTGGCAGAGTGGATCCTTGAGGAGAGGGGAAGCCGTGCCCCCAATCCAGCACTGTCATTGCCTCAACATCCCTACAATGTAAGCCTTGCTTACGTTGTCACGTTGTGAATGTTCTCTGATTATCTGTGTATTGGAATTGTTTTCATGTTACATGTACTTAGTGACTTTTTTCCTTCTAGTTTCTTTGTATGTATTACCGTCCCCCTGTTTTTCTTCAAATTAACATGGTTATGCTCTGTTTCGACAACTCTGGACATTAAACAAAAACTTGTTATGGCAGTTTGTCACAATGAATTCCTTTATTTCTCATCACAAAATAAAAGAAATCGCAATATTGTCTCAAATTTCAAAAACAAAAACTTTAAAAGCTTATGTTCCCAAATTATTTGATGTGATTAAATAAATATTTGATACTCGTAATGATAGTAGTACACATTTATTCATTGTTTCCTTTGGACCTGTCTAATTATTTTCCACTTAATTTCTTATGTATTGGAATAATATTCCATGAGGAAGAGACTGTTACTATCATCCAGTTTTGCAAATAAGGAAACTGAACCCAAGGAGGTTAAATATCTTACCAAGTATTATAGTTAGAGCCAGATTCAAACTTAGGTGGTGTTTTCCTGTTTACAAACACTTTCAGAAAGTATTTAGTGTTTAGCTACCACACAGGGAATTATTTATACACGTATAAAGTCGTTAACAAAAAGATATTGAACTCGAACTTTCATTCCTGTCTTGGATTAACTTCTTTCCTCCAAGTGGCCAACCACATGCACAGTCACTTCACCAGGATCCTCCTAAGATATGTAGGTTCCCAGAGGGCATCCAGATGGGACTTTTAGAGAGAGAGAGAGAGAGAGAGAGAGAGAGAGACCTGGAGGGGAAGCCTGTTGAAATGCTTAACTTTGGGAGTATTTATCATTTAAACTGATGACAGTACAGATAGTAAGCTCTGCCAATTTGCAACCTCCACCCCCCGCCCCCTGGTTTTGAATCTCTTCACCTGGCCATTCTTGATTTCATGATGCTGGATACTCAGGATGCTGATGAGCTATGGGAGGAATCTGTGAATATGGATGAATGATTTTCTATGACAAAACTGGGAACCCGTGCTCTGAGACTTCAGATAAAAATACGGGGGGAATGCTAGAATAGCCAAATCTTTGAGCTTCTTGTCACATTCATCCTTAAGTGGGACTACTTGTAAGTGGATACTTAATTTTAAAGAGAGAAGTAAACTTAAAACAGCCAAAAATACCATTAATGAGTACAATTCTTGTATTCAATTTGTATGTATCTGTTGCAAGTCCTTGAAATCGGAAACCATCTTGTGCATGCACTTTGTGGGGCAGTGAGTACAGGACACAGTTCCGTGATGAGAAAAGGAAGAGGTGTGTTTAGAACCTAGAGCCCCAGTAATTTGACTTCCTCATCAATTATGCTTTAGAGACTTACATGATCCTGGTTTCTTCCCTGCTTTTCTATGCAGTAAGACCCCAGGACCATTTGATTCGTTCTCCTTAATGCCCTAACACCAGACATATCCGTTCCTCTGTCATTATTACACAAATCTGAACCCTCCTTATCTCTCACAAGTGTTACAAAAACTTCCCATTCATTTTTCTCTTCCCACAGAAACAAATCTTCTGCTACCTTTAGATTAGTCTTGCTTGTCAACCACTTTCATTGTTAACACCCCACCCAACACTCTTCAGTGGCTCCTGGGACCTTTCCAAATAAAGGCAAAATCCTTAATAGGAGCCCCAAGTCTGGCCAGAACCTAGCCCTGACCCACATTTCTTATTGCGTCTTCCACTAATTCCCCAAACTGGAATATCCCAGTTCCTCAGAGAACATACCCCATCTCTGCCCTTGGGCTTACAGCAGGAGTACATTTGAGAGGAGTGCATTTTCCTTATCTTGCAGTTCTATAAATTTTAACTATTCTTCAGGGACCTCATCCTGCAAGAAGCCTTGCTGGCCCAGTCTAGCATGGAATGAGCACTCCTAAGAACCTCTACCAACTCAAATTACACTTTTAGCTCCTATCTTAGTTAAGTTTACATTTGCCTCGGCACCTTTTATGCTTTGAGCATCCCCTAGGATGCCTAGCTCACTGCCTTGCACAGAGTAGGCACTCAATAAATGTTCACTAACTGATTCTTAAAGCAGCCATGGAAATTCCAGGTAAGCATGTCTTGTATGAATCTGTTGTACTCTCAATAGAGGTCAGCATCCATATATTTGTTTATTTTGCCTTGTTCTAGTAATAATAGTGATCTTTTTTGTTCTGCCTTTATCTTTTGAATAGTTGACAAGCAAAGCACCTACTTCATACTTGCGGGATTTAGCGTCTTGTTAATGCTAATCAATGTCATGGTGATAATATTAAAAGTGTTCTGGATTGAGGTTATTCTGCTCTGGAGAGACATAGCTAAACCTTACAAAACTAGGAATGGTAAGTAGCAAGTTTCACATTTTTTTTTTCAAAAGAAAAAGATCCAAAAAAAAAAAAAAAAAGAAAGAAAGAAAAAGATCCATAATGGTTGTGGGTTACTTGTCTGTTGATCTTTTAATAGCTATGCTACTAAACTTAGATTTTGCTCACTAACATTGTCAGCAGACCTTTCTTTATCCTCTGTTGAGATTCATTTCAACAGTTCAAATTTCTTTCCTCTCTAAATTAATAACAGAATCGGCCCAAGCCCAGAAAAGTTTAAACAGTTTGGAAAATGTGCTATTGGTAAAACTTTATGGAATTGCAAACATTAACAGAAGTGTTGCTGTTTTCCAGATGTGAATAGCTTAGAAAGAGCCATCAGAATGTAGGTGTAGTTTACCAGAAAGCCCACTCCATAAAGAGTCCTATTTATGCACATAAATGAAAGAATACATTTATGCCTGCTAAATCAGAACACCATTCTTTCCTTTGGAGGCAGGTGTACTTTACACTTTCCATATGGTCCACTCAACTAGGACTAATTATTTGATTTCTGGGACATGCAGATCGTTTAAAAAAAAATTTCCTTTCGCATTTTCACTTCCTAGGGTAAGCAACAACAGCTAAATTGAGCTCAACTCCAAACAACAGAAGATTCCTTACCAATGAAAATAAATATTTATCAGTAAATTATTAATTAAGTTTGACCATGTGGTGTGTGCAAAACTGGACTGACTCTTGTCTACTCTCTATCATTCAGTCTGAGACAGGAAAGAAGCCAGCTTTGGGATTAAGATTGATGTCTTGATGACATTTTATGGCAGTAGATTGTTGTCACCATCTCTGGATTCTAGAATATTTGGGGGGACAGGTGGGATTCATGCACCACCAACAATAAATTCAGTGAAGAATATGTAGCAAGAATCAAATGGGAATTTTTCTAGCCAACTACTAAAGTTGTATTTCTTGTTCTCATTTTCAGACGGAAAGATCTACGATGCTTATGTTATCTATCCACGGAACTATAAAAATAATCCAGAGAGGGCCAGTGCTGTAGAGTACTTTGTCCACCAGATTTTGCCTGATGTTCTTGAAAATAAATGTGGCTATAACTTATGCATTTATGGGAGAGATCTGCTACCTGGAGAAGGTAACGCTACCAACATACTTCAAGGACAGAAATTCACATTCATCAGAAGGCCAAGAGATAGGTGAACTTATCCCTCTGTTGGAAAGGAATTACAATAACTACTCCAGGCCTAAGACCAGAGCTTTTAAATATTTCTGTAGAAGAAGGAGATACTTACTCTTTGCTCCTCCTGCCCCCATGGCCAACCTGATCATGAGGTTTTCACAAGAGTGTCGGTGCTGTGAAGCCTTGGTAAGGTGTGCTGCCTGGGTGGATTTAGCAAGGCACTGCCCCTACTTGACTTCCCATGCCCACTGCTAGGATACCTGACATATCTTAATTGTCTCTAGAAAAGCTGAAAGAAGACTCAAAAAACAAAGAATTTTGTTCTAATATCCAGAAGCATTGGCTAAAATATTTGCAAGGATTCAGAGGTCTTTAGGATTTTCCTTGTATTGGAGAAACATTTGTAAATGTATATTCTCACAACAACTAGAGCTGTCTTCGGTTTTGCAATATTTCTGACTTGGAATATTTCTAGTAATTCCATGCATCTTTGAAAGTTTGTTACAATTCTGGCCCTTCAGTAGCTGTTCTCTGCTTCTCTCTATATTTATGTCAAGTACACATGAGCCCTCCTTACAGCCCTTCTTGAATTCCTCAGAGACCAGGAAGTATTTGGAATGTGAATGAGGCAGGAGCCTCATGACAGTAGGTCCAATAAAGTTAATGCTTAGTAAACTGTGAATTTAAACTGGCATTTCCACTGCAAAGAGGGATTCAAGCATCTGTAGATTTAGAGGAACACAAAGCAGCTGAATCTGGTTTGTCCTGGAATATTCAGGCAAAGTTAATTACCCCATAAGGCTGTGAGAGACTCATAAAATGAACAACTCAGGAAAATGTAACCCAAATTTTCTCTAGAGCCTATCTCCCCTTGGCTACTCATGCTGGTAGAGAGGAATGAGTCATGGTGCTCAAATGTTCTTTTCGTGTTCCACATCTGCTCAGGAAGCTGCCAGGACGCCAACTGTTTGTGGTGTCACACTACATGCTATGTCTGGCTGTAAACCCTTCATCTCTTTTTTTCTCTGATCCATTGACCTCATTTCTAGTTCTGCCTCTCTCCAGCCCAACGTGAATGTCAGCTCACAGATGCTCCAGCTTGCATGGCCTGCATTGTGTTGTTTTTCACCTGGGAAATTTCCCATGACCCCTCCTCCAACTATGTCCTCTGACCTTACTTTATTTTTTTATTTTTATTTTTTAGAGAGAGAGAGAGAGGCACAGATACAGGGAGAGAGAGAGAAGCAGGCTCCATTCCATGCAGGGAGCCTGACGTGGGACTTGATCCCGGGTCTCCAGGACCACACCCTGGGCTGAAGGCAGGGCTAAACTGCTGAGCCACCCGGGCTGCCCCTCTGACCCTACTTTAATCAAAGTAAAGTCCAATCTAGCAAAACAACTTCACTTGCCCCTTAGAAAAAGTTAGTGACTGGCTGCATTGGTGCATTTCTTCCCATGCTAGTGACCTTCCGTTTGCTCCTTCAAATCCACTCTGCACCCTGACCATCCAATGGCCCAGGGTAGTGAGTCATTATGGAATCCATGACACCCCTGCCCTCTGCTCAATGCCAGGTTTGGCCAATGGAAGCACTGGCAGGAGTGCAGAGGCAGGCATCCTGGGAGGTTGCCAGGGTAGCTGGGCTCTTCTCTCCCAAGACATGGGCTCCCATTTGCTGCCTTTAGACTCATTAGGTTCCATGACTGCTTCCTCCCCTTCACACCTGGAGGGTGGTAATGCCTCCCTGGTTATTTCTAGTGCTGGGGTTCCAAGGCACCTCTCGTTGATTTCTCTTGGTTCTGTCCACATCTTTTATAAATTGTCCTTTTATTAAACTCTCTTAAGTTAGTCCTTTTGAGTCTGCTGAGCTTCCAGTTAGGATCCTGGTTGACACAAGGTCTCTACCTGGCACCATTCAACGTTTATTTCCCTAGGTCACGCAACTACAGGATTTAGTCTTTCAGCTGCCACCCTCTGAGAATATCTTGAGTGGTTTTGTCCACAGTTGTATTTCTTTGATCATACTATTGCCTTCTTGCAGTGAGATCTGAGTATTTTACACTTAAAAACACAGCAACAGGAAATCTGACCCGTGTCCTTTATTCCCAGATGCAGCCACCGCAGTGGAAACCAACATACAAAAGAGTAGGCGCCACATTTTTATCCTGACTCCTGAGATCACACACAGCAGGGAGTTTGCCTACGAGCAGGAGATCGCCTTGCACAGTGCCCTCATCCAGAACGACGCCAAGGTGATTCTTATAGAATTGGAGGCTCTGAGCAAGCCAGGTGGACTACAGTTTGGGGAGCTTCAAGATTCCCTCAAGCACCTTGTGGAAGTGCAAGGTACCATCAAGTGGAGGGAAGACCATGTGGCCAACGAACAGTCGCTGAATTCCAAATTCTGGAAGCATGTGAGGTACCACATGCCTGTGCCCAACAGACTGCCAGGGAAGACATCCAGTTTGGCTTCCCTGAGTGCCCAGGGGCAGTAGTGCTTGCTTTGATGTGCTAATGCACCCGATTTCCGTTGGCCTGAACTCTTCCTGGCTGGATTATGCCATTGGACCAGACACTGGAGCAGAGGCATGAAGAGTGGGAATGTCAAGATTGTGCAGGCTTCGGGTTTCATCCATCAACTCTACTTCCATTTTCCTGATTCTGGGTGGTTGCAAAAAGCCCAGAAATGTTTATCCTTGCTCCCCCTCTCTTCAGCTCACTTTTCCTTCCTTTTCTCCCTTTGCTGATCTTTCTCCAGGTGGCCTAGGATCTCTTCATTATGCTTTTTCCACTTTCTCTCTCTTTCCTGTTTTCCTGCTCCTTATTCCTTGTCAATATTCAGCACATTGAACTTCAAACTAGATGTGTTAGAGCTAAATTTTCATGTAACCTTGAAGAACACTTAGATTCCCACAAGCAGAACTTTAGCAGTACATCTCATTCCTCACATACCAGAATATATTACATTTTATTTGACCAGATGCTGAGTTTTATCATCTCAATGTTGCTGATGTTACTGGAGTGCCGTCCCCAGTTGCCATTATAATCAAGTTTTTGCAGTTCTAAAATTTCTTTCGTAGATTTTATTCTCTTTAGAAATATTTTTATCTCACTTTAAAAGTTACAGAAGAAGAGAAAAACATGAAAGAAGAAAATAGCAAAAATTATCCATAAATCCATCATCCTAAGATAATGACTTTTAAACATTATGGTAAATTTGAATTTGTACCAAAACATATCATTTATGTAGCTGAGCTCACGTGGTGTGTGGTTTTTTATATTTTGTTCTATTTTACTTCATGAAAAAAAAATTGGACATGTCACTTAAATTTTAACGTTTTATTTATTTATTTTTTAAAGATTGTATTTATTTATTCATGAGAGACACAGACAGAGGCAGAGACATAGGCAGAGGGAGATGCAGGTTCCTTGTGGGGAGCCCGATATGGGACTCGATCCCAGGACCCCAGGATCATGACCTGAGCCAAAGGCAGATGCTCAACCACTGAGCCACCCAGGTGCCCCAAATTTTAACATTTTAAATATTCACAGAGTTCTATTTCATGGCTGTGCACACCTGACATGCCTCATTAGTTATTGTTGTATATTTGAGTTGTGTTGAATTTAAATGGCCATCATTATACTTAATTCAGGAATGATCATGTCAGTGTATCTTACATTTCTCAATTATGATTTTCTTTTTTAAATTTGAGAAATTGTTTTGTTGTAACATTTCCATGAAATCAGTAGGGCTTTTGGCAGAAACATTTGGCAAAAGTGAAGTTAAGGTGCACAGTCAAGGCCACTCCCATTAATTCCCTAAAGGAGTTCACCCTCAGCTGAGATGCTTTTAAAAGTATACAATTTTGCATTTAACTGCAAAAGAAAACTGCACTCCAGATCCTTGACAGGGAGTAAAATCTTGACTGTCACTCATGCTTTACAGAGCCTTGCTTGAAAAGAACTTGTTTATTTCTGAAAGGTTGCCTAAAGGATCTGTGGTTACCTATCCCTCTACATACCCTATAATCTGAATCTATACTCCCTGGATTAAGGTTGTCAGATAAAATACAAGACATCAGTTAAAGCTGAATTCAAAGAATGAAATCTCATCTGAAATTAAAATTTCACTGGGAATTTTTATTTGCTAAATCTGCTTTTTTTGTGGTGACATCTGATTTTATTGAACAACTAAAAAAATCAGCCTGTGAGAAGGATGCCCTCAAGTTGATTGGTTAACACCACATAATTTGGAATCAACAAGATATCCTCTGTTCTCCACCAGCTGTGTGACCATAAGTAATACTGTCAGGAGTAGATGTACCTTTAATCCAGCTTCCCTATCTACCTAGACTTACAGACAGGTGTTTGATTTATGGACATAGATAATTTTGGAAATGATTTTATTTTCCTCTTTATATTAGCTACTTGAATGCCTCGAGCCAAATTTGGGCCCTTTCTATAGGATATAACAAGGAAGTTATAATCTCTTTATTTTTATTTTTATTTTATTTTAAAGATTTTATTTATTTATTCATGATAGACATAGAGAGAGAGGCAGAGACACAGGCAGAGGGAGAAGCAGGCTCCATGCAGGGAGCCCGACGCGGAACTCGATCCCGGGTCTCTAGGATTATGCCCTGGGCCAAAGGCAGGCGCTGAACTGCTGAGCCACCCAGGGATCCCCAATCTCTTTATTTTTAAATATATTTTAACTGCCCAAATTGTAAGCTACTTTGCAAATATCCAACATTTACATTTTTCTGAACATGTGCTAAATATCTCTTTGAAAGGGGCAGAGAGAGGAAAGGCTGTGGAAGGATACATAGGGGAATTAGGCACATTCCTCTCTTTATGGGTTTCAAAGCCACAGCGGAAACCAGGAGGGGTTTTGTGAATAGAATGAATTCAGTCCAACCCAGTGAGGTGTCTATTGTATGATCCTGTTAAAAAATTCTGGTGAATTATAAAAACACAAGGAATTGCCCTTACTTGAGTCAAATTTGCATACAATACAATGCAGATCTTAAGTTTGATGAGTCTTGACAATTACGCATACCTGTGTAGTTACCATCCCGAACAAGAGAGAAATATTTCCATCAGGGGTGCCTGGGTGACTCAGTCAGTTAAGCATCTGACTCTTGATTTTGGTTCAGGGCATGATCTCTTGGGTCATGAGACTGAGCCCCACATTGGGTTCCCCAGTCAGTGGGAAGTCTGCTTGAGATTCTCCCCCTCTCCCCCTTCCTTAACTCTTGTGCTCTCTGTCTCTCTGTCTCTCTCTCAAAAAGAGGGATAGATTATAAATCTTAAAAAAAAAAAAAAAAAAAAGAAATATTTCCATCACCTTCCCTACTGGAGAAGTTCCATCCTGATATTTCCCAGCCAATCTCTCTCCTTCCTCAGAGGCCAATAATGTTCTGATTTCTATCTCCATTAGTTTTGATCAGATCATGAAATTTCTATCAGTAAAGTCAGACAGACAGTGCTGTGACTCTGTACTTTCACACAACATAACGTTTTGGAGATGCATCCATGTTTTGTATGTGTCCATACTTTGTTTCTCTGTATTCCTGAGTTGGATTCCATTGCATGGCTGTACTCAGTTTAACCTCCCCCTGGTGATGGACATATGGGTTGTTTCACATGGTACCTATAGTGAATATGGAGATTGTGAATATTCTTGTGGACATGTGTTCTTATTTCTCTTGGCTCAATACCTAGGTGTGGTCCTTTTTAAGAAACTGTCAAACTGGCAAACTAATTGTACCATTTTCATTTCCTCCGGTTATGTACAGGACTGCTCTTATTCCTCACCAATGATTGGTATTGTCAGGTTTCTTTGAATTTTAGTTATTTCAGTGGGTATTCAATGAATCTCATTATGGTTTTAATTTCCAGTTGTCTGATGATTAATGATATTGAACATTTTTTATGTCTTATTCACCAGTAAGATTCATGTGTCTATCACTCAGTGAAAGTAAAATCTTCTACACGTTTTTAAATTGTGTTGCTTCTCTTCATGTTGTTGATGTGTGGAAATTTTTTAGATATTCTGGATACTAATTCCTTTTCAGATAGATGTAAGGTGACAATTTTTCCAGGCTTGCCTCCTTACCTCTTTCTTTTTTTCAACGGTATCATTGATTAGCAGATGTTTTTAATTTTGGTAACATTCAATTGGTCAGTTTTTCTTATATGGTTAGTGTTGTCTGTGTCTTTTCTAAGTTTTTTTAAAATTATTTTTTATTTTTTTATCTCAAGGTCTGGAGATATTTTCCCATGTATCTTTATGAAATATTCATGGTTCCAACTTTTATATTTAGGTCTATGGTCCACTGTGAATTAATATTTGCATATGGAATGAGGTAAGGATCAACCTCATTTATTTTTTTCCCATAGAGAGGCCCAATTGTTCCTGCAACACTTGTGAAAGGCTTATCTTTTCCTATTGAATTGACATGATGCCCTGGTAAAGATCAATAGGCTATATATGCGTGGATCTATTACTCTATATTATTTTCTATTTCTATGCTCATGCAAATATCACACTATCATGATTAGTATTGCTTATTGTATGCCTTCAGGTCAGCATAAGTCCTCTAATTTTGTTCTTTCCCAAGATTGGTCTGACTATTCTAGGTGATTTGCATTTTCATATAAATTTTAAAACCAGTTTCTCAATTTCTTTGAAAATTCCTCCTGGGATTTGGATTGTAGGAAATATTTAGACTCTATAACATATAGAGTCTAAAAATGTATGGACTCTATAAACTCCACAGTTTGTACAGAATAGATATCTTAACAACGCATCTTCCAATCCATAAATATGGTATATCCATCCATTTTTTGTCTTTTATTTCTCTTTGCAGTATTTTGTAGATCTCATGGTAAACATCTTGTATATGTTCCAAAGGATTTATATTTTGGTATTTGATTTTTTTATGGTATTGTAAATGGTATTTTAAACAAATTTAATTTTTCAAATTTCCATTACTGGAATATAGAATTCTGATTTATTTTTGCATATTGGCTTATTATTCCATGATTTTGCCAAACTCATTTAGGACTTCAGCAGCTCTTTTGTAAACTTCGAAGGGCGATTTACACAAAATTATGCCTTCCATCAGAACCAATAGTTTTTATCTCTTCCTTCCCAATCTATTTGCTTTCTATTTTTATCTCTTTACTTATTACAAAAGGATTGTCCCAGGTGAGAGATGACATCCTTATCTTGTTTCCCATCTTAGGAAAAAAAGCAAAGTGTTTCAATATTAATGATGAAGTTACCTGCAGGCTTCTTACAAATGTTCTTTATCAGATTAAGAACGTTCCTATTTTTAGTGTTCCTAGTGTTATTCATGAAGAAAGGCTGTTGCATTTTGTCAGATGCTTGTTCTTATTGCCTTTATTGAGATCATTGTTTTAGTTTTCTCATTTATTACACGATGAATTCTTTTGACTGAATAAAAAGAATGAAAAGGACTCATTAAACCCTCTCCCTATCAGCCGTGGGGTTCATTCTTCTCTTTTGTTGGAAAGATCCTGCTACAGACCACTCTCAAAATGTACCCTGCATTCTTCCACGGGGTGAAAACTTTGAAACACACGTTCTCCTTTGGCTTCCTTTTCTTAACAGTGTAAAATCTCAGTTCAACACCTCCGCCCCCTCTCTACTATTTTCCAGGAGAGAACCCTTCGCCCACGCAGAAGGCCTCAGCACAGATCTGAGGCTTGAGGGCTTCAGCCGACGGCCTCCTCCTCACTTTGGATGACCTGGGGGAGCCGTCCTGTGTGTGCTCACCGCCCTTCCCGGGCCTCCGTCCTGTCTGGGGCCGCCCGGGCTCCCTCCCCTTAACCGCAGGTGGTGCCCCTCGGCGGCGGGCGCGCTCCCTCTCCCCGTGACCCCGGTGCACACCCGTCGGCGGCCTGCAGGGCGCGCAACGAGCAGCCCCGCGCGCCCGGGCGCTCCGGGTCCCCCGCCACCGCCCAGCCCCCGGGAGCTCCCGAAACTCGCCGCGCGAGCCTGGGGCACCGGTGGCCTCGGCGCAAGGGCGACGCTCCGGACTTTCCAGCCGCGCCCGCGACCAAGCGGCTCCCGGAACCCCGGGGCGGGGCGCCCAGGTGGAGGAGTCCGTATCCCCCGCGCGGGGGGGGGGCTCCCCAGACCAGAGCACCCCGGAGGAAAGCCGTGTGTACCCCCGATCCACCGATCCACCGACACCGCAGCCTGGGAGGATTCCCGCCCCGCCCCAGGCCCCCGACGGGGAGAAACCCCCGACGACGAGCGTCTCTGATTGGAGCATCCCAGGCCGGGACACGCCCCCTGGCCCCGCGGCGCCCCACTTGGAGCTCGGGGACGCCGAGCCGCGCGTCCCACCCACAGCCTCCGCGCGCCGCTGCCAGGCGCCTTTTCTTCCTTCTGACCCTCTGTTCCGTTTGTTCGTCGTGTCCCTTTCCCCAGCCTTCTCTGGTTGCCTTCCATCTTTCACCACACGTGGGGCGCCTCTGTTTGCTTGGGGGGCGCACAGCGCTAGGGAGACGGCGGGTCGCAGTTTCCCGCCCGCCTTTGGGACACCTGCCTCCGCTGCCGCGACCCGAGTGCAGGAGGGACGGCCGCCCCCGCCCCGCCCCGCCCCGGCCCCGGCCCCGGCCCCAGCCCCAGCCCCAGCCGCGGGGCACTCCCCTCGGAAGGTAAGGAGCGCCCGGCTGCCAGCCGCACCCCTCCGCGCCCCCTGCGCCGCCAGCCCCGCTGGCCAGGGCCAACCCAGCCAGGCCACAGGGGTTCTGGAAACAAGATCGTTAAAGATGTGTGCCGCTAGGTGTAGCAGGTCTTCCTCCGCTGATGGGGGGCGGGGGGCCCTGGAAAACCCAGACTAGGTTGGTAATATCCGAAGTCACTGGGACATGCGGTTAATCCGTCTAACCTCCTGAACATCAGGGCTCAGCCTACCTGAAGGTGCGCAGAACCCTTACATTAGCCTACAGCTGGGTGAAATCCTCCAGCACGACGCCTAGTTCATAATAAGCTGTCGAATATCTCATTTATTTGATGGAATAGTATACGGAAAAGGAGGAACAGTGGTCGCATGGGGTACAGAATGGTTGTAAGTGTATCTGTTGTTCACCCTCATGATCCCCAGGCCGACTGGGAGTTGCAGCTAGTGAGGGTCAGAGGGCATATCACTAGGATGCGAAAGATTCAAATTCAAAGTGCAAAGTATGGTTTCCACTGAATGTGTAACTCTTTTGCACCATCATACAATCAAAAAAGCATAAATGGAGCTGTCATAAGTAGGGATTTTGTGTATATATATATATATATATATATATATGTATACATGCAGATATGCATATACATCTATATATATAGTTTAAAGTATTATTTATATAAATAGATGTCCAGGTGTCTGCATATATACACACATATATGTGCACCCGTGCACACATGAATAATTGGTGATACAGCATCCATTTTTCCAGCTAGTATAATTTCAGACCGTAAAACTTGCCCTATAATTCTTTTTTTTTTTTTTCTAAAAAAGTGAGAAGAGCTAAAATAATTGGTAGCTTTTACAAATTAAGCACTTATCTAGCATGGTATAGAAAACTTTTAGATGCATTATTTTCTCTCAATCTTCCTGTAGGCTGACTGAAGTAGGCACTATCATTATGCTTAATGAAAGGAGGAGAACCAAAGCACAGAGATGTTTAGTCATTTATCCAAAGGCATCCAGCTTACTAAGTAATAGATTACAGATTCGCACCAAAATTTCCCTGATTCCAAAATCTTTACTTTTAATTTGAGGTGCTTCCAGGAGTTAGAACCCCAAGCAAGTTGCTTTGCAGGTTAGGAGACAAACTAATGACTGGGTGATCCCTGTCAGGTATAGACACGTGAGGTTATTGTATTAATTTCACCCTCTTCCCTTGTTCTATTCTTGGGAGCCTCAGCAAACACTCCTTTTGGTGCTGTGCAGTGCTGGGATCTCGGGCGCACTTCTCATCCTGAGGACCTTGAGTGGCTTGGGAGGGTGTACATTTGGGAGAAACTGGGTTTATTCAGGTTCTGGGATAATGCGACTGCTAACCAACCCTTCTCCTCCCTGCCAGCACAAAAACACATACAAAGGCTGTGAGCAAGAGCTCTGGGAACACAGAAAGACAGGGTCCCAGGGCGCGGGGATGAATCCAGGGGTAATGGGAATGCCGCGTGGTGCAGGTGTGTGGACAAAGGCTGTTTGGGGCACTGGCAGTTGGAGAGCTTCCCTGAGAAGGTGATCATTGAGTCAGGTTGTAAGAATTGCAAGGACCCTGCAGTTAGAAGTGGGAAGGGTTCGGGTAGCAGGACTAGCACAGGCGCAGGTGGAGTGGAGGAGGCCTAGGGACGCCACAGAGATCTGTGTGACAAGGACTATGAAATGGGAATGATTCTCCTGGCCTTGCAGATGAAAAGCCTAATTCAACATAAATTCTGCTTTCCTTAGAGTGAAAGCATGTGGAAGCATGTGTGTGTGTGTGTGTGTGCATGTGCACCTGTGTGTGTTTTATGTCGAAGATCATTTTTTTCCTCTTTGCGTTCGTTGTTTTATCATCTCAATGGTTGAGTGAAACACTTAGGCACCGAACACTGCAGAGGAAGAGTTATTTTACAAATCACTGGTGTTAAGGTTTTCCTCAAGGCAATTTATCTTAGGAGGTGCTCAATTTTGATTTGCTGGGTAGAGTGATTTACATCGAGGAGATCTACATCTATTCCTGTGTGAGTCAGTGTAACGCTCTATAATCTGGGCCAGTTCACTGGTCAAGTCTCAGCTTCCTTCGCAGAAAGAACTCAGCCTCACAACTAAGAAGGCTACCAAGAAGTAGCCTTACAACTATGGGCTTCTGTGAATTAGGTTTTTTTAGAAAATGGTCACTTTTATCAGGGTAGGGTATATGAACAGGGCAAGTGGGCAAAACCTTCCAGGATGAGATTCAGACACTCCGCAGGACCCTGGTCAGAGAGAACGGTTGGCTTGCCCTTGGTCACACGATTTTTAGAAGAGAACCTTTTTCATTTAGGGAAAACTTCATGCCATTCAGTGATTTAGGGGAAGTTTGTGAATGTTCTTTGTGTGTGTGCACATACATATCTACATACATATACATCTGCGTATGTGCACATATACTTAATATGTCTTAAATAGTGAATTATTATTAAATGTGTATTTATGATATATTAAATGTACTTTTAGGTACACAAAGAAGTCCGCTAGATTAGTGTCTTCCTACCGTGGTTGCGTATTAGAATCGCCAGGAGGATTTTCAGGTGTCTGGGTGAGGACCTAGGTATTGTGATTATTATTTAAGATCCAGGGTAGAATGAGTGCTCTAGACTTCACATCAGTTGTTAAAACATATTTTCCAAGATATCATGCTTTAAGGAGCATTTCAAAGGTAAGATTATGCAGATGTAACAGTGGATCAGATGATCACCTAAGACACCAAACTTTATATATTTAATGAATTTAATGAATTCATCAATTCAGCAAATAATAAACATAAAATAAAGTATGTCAGTTAGTGATGAGTACTATGAATGAAAAAACAAAGCACAGTGGAAGAGGAAAGAGTGGTGTGTGTGTACATGTGTGCAAGCACGTACACACACATGCTTGCATACATACACACGCTTGCATGTATTTGTACCTGAGCGATCATGCTGCTAGATTTCCATAGAATGCTTGCAGAGAGCCCTTACATTATAACTATGCTTTCAGCACATTGTAAAGGGAAGATGGGACTTTTAAATTAATTATAGAGAAATAATTAGTAGCTCTTTGAGAAAAAAAATTATTTAGACCTATCTTCATACCAAACAAGAAGATTAATTGTTAATGAATAAAAAATTTTAATGTTAAAAAAAGCCCCTAAGCCATAAAAAGGAAGAAAGCATACCTTGAGTATACACCAGACCACTGAGGGGAAAGGAGTGACCTACATGCAAAAGTAATGGAAAAATCACCAAGAAAAAGCATAGTGGGGTTGACTGCATAAATATGAAGTCTCCCATATGTGAAAACAGCAAAAGAGGAATTTGAAGGGTAAATTCAATAAGTTGAAAAAAAAAAAAACCCGCTAAGACACCTAAGAATTGGACCAAGGTGTAAAAAAATAGTTCATACACAAGGGAATAAAATAGCTAAAAACATATATGCTTAATATTCTTTTTAAAAAGATTTTATATATATTTCAGAGAGAGAGAGAGCATGAGCAGGAGAGGGGCGAGGGGCAGAGGGAGAGGGCGATGCAGACTCCCCGCTGAGCGGGGAGCTGGAGGCAGGGCTTCATCCCAGGATCCTGGGATTGTTATCCCAGGATCATGGCCTGAGCGGAAGGCAGACCCTTAACTGACTGAGCTCCCCAGACACCCTTATGTTCTGATTTATAGCAATAGAAACGCAGGTTAAAAAAAAAAAAAAAAAAACATGAAACACCATTAACCAATTTAAAAAGAGAATTAAAGAATGAGAATGCAGGATGCTTATGTGGGTGTGATAGATGGATATTATCTTGCACAGCTGAGGAGTATGAATTATTACATTTCTAGAATGCAGTTTGGTAGTATGTGTTTATCTCATTTAAAATGTATTCTTTAAAAAAATAAAAATAAAATGTATTCTTTGATCATAGATTGTATTGCCATTGTCATAACACCAAGAAAGGTAGATAAATAACTAACATTTAAGTGATACTTCTTATGCACCAGATACTTTGCAAAGGTAACTCATGAAGCCTTCACATCAGTTCTGGGATGTAGTATTGTTATTCTCTTTCCTAAATAAAGGAACTAAAGAGCAGGGAGGATAAGTGACTTGCCCAGGGTATTCAGCTGGTAAACAATAGGATGAGGATCCAAATTCAACCAGTTTGGCGCCAGAGGTCATGCCCCCCAAACTGATCCATACCCTTTGACACAAGAAGATAGTCATGAGGTTATTTTGTAATAAAAATATCTTATAAATTATAATAGTCCTGTATCGGGGGATATATGTAGCAATTAAGGTGATGTTAACAGAGATTTTTGTGACACAGGGGAGTGTTCATTTATTACGTGGAAAATGCAGGATATGAACATTTTGAATATCTGAATTATTTGAAAGTCATGTAGAAGAAGTACAAGGCAACATGTTAAAATATTATGCATATTGAGATCATTTTCTTCTTTTCAATCTTTATTTTATAATGGCATCATATATTGGGCACATAATACTTTGGAAATAAAAAAAATTGGAAGAAAGAAAGGAAGAAAGAGAGAAGAAAGGAAGGAGGAAAGAGAAAAATTGAAAAATTATGGACCGGCAAAAAAATCAATAACAAACATAATACTGAAAAAACCCCAAACGTCCTTCATGCAAGAAATTTAATATTTATATTCTATGTATATTTTATTAATACTTACTAATCTGTGACATTTCCCAGAATAGCTTTTCTTTTGAAAATGAGTTCCATTATTTAATAACTTAATCTTTTAAATCCACAATAAGTACATTATAATTTATATACCTACAGAGCAGCCCAAATATCAGCTACTTTGTATACTGGGATCTTAACATGTTTCATATTGAAATTCAGAGTTAACTCATCAGAATGCTGGATTATTTCATGGTAAATTTATTTCTCAGTAGACCTTGAAAATTAACAAAAGCCAAAACCAAGAAAAAACAGCAGTGCCCTTTATGAGGCTGTGTCAGTCTTAACCAGAGGAAACACTTTTCATTCTATTTGAGGTAAGAGAATAGATAGTTAATAATAAATGTATGAAATATGTGTGGGTGGGGGATTGATTTCAAGCCACATAACCATAGAAATATTCTAATTTGAATAGTTGGTACTTTCCATACATTCTTAACTCTTTTGTCTTTACATTATTATTATCTATTGGAAATTACAGCAGAAGCTTTGTGATGTTATTCATAAAGATTGATGTAAGTAGTTTGATGGTTTTGCTGTTAAACTTCATCCAGGATTTGAACATTAACAGCCTTTTTTTTTTTAAGTATGGGAGGTGAGTGGCAGTTGGTAAGAGAATCATTTGGGACGGAGAAACTACCATGCATCCAGAAAGCTTTCATTGCTTAGGCTGATCTAATTACTCAATAATTTTGGTGATAAGCCTTCTTACTAATTTCCATTTTGGTAATGAGCAGATAGGATCTGACACTTTTAAGTAACTTGCCTAAGGTTGCAGAGCTAGTCAGGGCTCCAGATGGAATGCCAACCCAGGGTTGTGTGCCCCAGAAAGTGAGCTTTTTCATCACGCTATGCTTCCTCCACCCAGTGGAGCTCAGTGTGTGTTATGCAGGGAACATGGGATTGCTTCTGAAATATTCATACTCAGTGTAAGAGTCCCACTGCCCCCTTCCCTTGTTCTACTCTCTAAATTTGTAATTCACGGAACAAATGATGGGTTGGAGTAAGGACTTAAATTCAATACAGATCTGAGTTGACGGCATCCATGTATATTAGACATTTGGAGTATAGGGAATTTCTGCTTCGTCTCTCTGTTTCCTAAAATAAATTTTTTTTAAATTTTTTTTTATTTATTTATGATAGTCACACAGTGAGAGAGAGGCAGAGACACAGGCAGAGGGAGAAGCAGGCTCCATGCACCGGGAGCCTGACGTGGGATTCGATCCCGGGTCTCCAGGATCGCGCCCTGGGCCAAAGGCAAGCGCCAAACCGCTGCGCCACCCAGGGATCCCTGTTTCCTAAAATAAACACATGTGGGTGTATGTGTGTAAATACACACACACACACACACACACCCATACACCTATACCCCTGTAACAAGTGTTAGTGCTTACTATGTGCTAGGCATTGGTCTGGACTCTTATGATGCAGTAATGAATAAAGTAGACAGTTTCTAGCTCATGAAGAACTTTGTTCTGAAGAAGGAAGATGGATATTTATTTATTTAAGATTTCATTTATTTATTTGAGAGACTGAGAGAGAGAGAGAGAGAGAGAGAGAGACAGAGTGAGAGAGAGGGAGCACAAGCTGGGGGAGGGGCAAATTCCTTGCTGAGCTGGGAGCCTGATGTAGGGCTCTGATCCCAGGCCCCTGGGATCATGACCTGCTATAAAGGCAGACACTTAACTGACTGAGCCACCTAGGCACCTGAAGGTGGGTCTTTAAAAAGTCAAGTGATAAATGAAGATCATGATGAGCATTCTGGTGTGATGAGAGAAAAAGGAGCACACACAGACACAAACACACCCCTATTTGGGCACACCTGCCATACATGTCTTGGTAAATTACAGACTGTCTATTGATAGACCAGTAGGTTCTCTGGAAATACTTTTGTCTTCAACTTTGATCTTTGAGGTAAGATTTAGTAGACCAGGCTCAAAGTACAGCAGACTCTCTTGTATTAGAAAATTGCGCTAGTAGGAAATTTTCTGGATGCTGAAATTCATTACCTTGAAGTTTTATGAATTCTGTGTAGCTGAAAGTTCTGAGAATACTTGATGACTATATTAAAGGATGTGAAAACTTCCTGCACTGATTTCTTTTTAAAGTCTGTGTGCCAGAAGATTTTTAAAAATTCTCCTTCATGACACAGGTGTGCTTTTGTTTGCAAGTTTGGCCTGAACCTGTCTTATTCCATTTTCCAGAGAAAGCATTGGAGGCAGAATCCTAAATATGCATCATATAGAACTACTCTTGACACTTTTGGCGCTTATGTTTACAAGAACCTTAGGTAAGTAATTATAGTCATTCACAAGCATACTTAATTGGTAGTCTAGAGGGAATATGAAGGTTTCACTTTTTTATGCGGAGGTGTCTACTGAAGATGCTGAATTTATTAAAATTAGTGGTTTTGAATTTTATTTTGAAAGTTACCACCCATTTGGTGCCCCTGGCATAAAGAAAAAAACGTTCATAGAAATGATATCAAATAAGAATTATATGGAACTACTGAAAAAGAAAACATTTAGCCCTTTGAGTTTATGTAGAGAGAGAAGGATTGTATCTGGAAACAAATTACATTTGTCAGAGATGAAAATCTGCTTTATGTTATTTAAAACTGAAGAGTTCACAGCCATCGTTATTATTGATTTTTAGAAAGTTTTACACGCATTATTTTTCTCCAAACATGAAGGCCAAGAGTGATTTCATTATTTAGGTAGTGAAGACAGTGAGTGGGAATACCTTGCAGGGCTGGGGGGAAATATTAAAGTTAGAAGGACTATGTAAGAAAGACTGCATAGACCGGAGAAAACACGTAGGCTTCATATCAGGTGGCAAGTACTAGTTTTAACTGAGCGGTGATGGCTTGGAGACTTTTATCAAGAAGGATTCTGTGGCTTCATAGGATCCTTTGGAGAAGAGATGCATGACTGAATAGCAAGGTTCTCCTTATGCTTTGGAGGAGCAGGTGGGAACAGAAATATTAATTTGCCTTGATCTGTTATCTAGGAAAGGGTAACACATGAGCCCATATCTCTACTTTGAAAATTACTGCTGAAGAGATAGGGAATTTAAGTGAGTGATACTTTCAAATAATTCCAGTCCAATATTTACTGAAGTGGGTCCATGTTTGTTGGAATGCAGACAATGCAATACTACCCAGATGTTAAAGGAAGGAGATAGATCTGCTGCTTTTGATATGGAATAATCTGTTAGAAACTGCTGGGTGAAAAGCAAGGTGCAGGAAAGGGTGCATCATGGGTGCCTTGCTCTATAGACATACACTAATAACCTTGCTCCCAAGTTACAATGAACTATGTTTCAGGCTGGAAAATAGCCATGCAATCCATTCTAAAGGGTTACTAAGGTCCCAGCAATTTGTCCTTTCAGGAATCGGAAGAGTACCTTTCATAAAGGTTTCGCTCTAGGCAAATATGACAATATTCTACATGAGGATTCATTTAACCTAGTAGAAGCTGAAAGACAATATCCTATTTATTGTCCAAACTCAAGGCAATTTCAAAGACAGACATCATTTCAAAGGGTCTAGGTTGTTGACCTTGCTGGATTCTTACTCTCTGTTCCTGTAAGAATGGGAGTACCTGTTCTGGGCAGCCCGTATACCTGAATTCCACTCTTTTTTTTTTTTTTTCAATGAAAACTCATTTCCTTTTTTAAAAGATTTTATTTATTTATTCATGAGAGACACACACACAGAGAGAGAGAGAGAGAGAGAGAGAGAGAGAGAGAGAGAGAGAAAAGCAGAGACACAGGCAGAGGGAGAAGCAGGCTCCATGTGGGGAGCCCGACACAGAACTCTACCCCAGGTCTCCAGGATCAGGCCCTGGGCTGAGGGCGGCACTAAACCACTGAGCCACCCAGGCTGCCCTCAAAACTCATTTCTTTTTTTTTTTTTTTCTCAAAACTCATTTCTATTCAACAACACCTATAGTGTTAAGCATAAGATTAGGTAGCTGAAGCCACTAGCAGCCAGGGAGGTGTGAACGGAGTATGGTCAGTAATATTGTAATAACATGTGGTGACTACATTTATCATGGTGAGCACTGAGTAATGTATAGAATTGTTGATCTCCAACCATCTACCCCTGGCGAGTATGTAATCCAGGTTAGGTTTCAGCAAATGATAAGTACTCCCCAAAAGAAATGATGAATGTGTCTATCACAACAAAGACACAGATATTTTATGGAAGTGGTTTTTTTAAAGGTAGGCTGAAACATAGAAAGAACATATATATTCAACAACAACAGAATGGATAAATTGTCAAATATGACAACTATAAAAACTATGAGAAAAAGAACAAATCACTGCTTCTTGCAGCAACATGGATGCCTATCCAAGACATGATGGAGTAGGGAAGAATCCAGACACAGAAGAGCACATACTGTAGGATTTGTGTACTTTGTCTTATGTATAGTATATCTCTGAAACAGGAAAATAAATTGTTTTTGACATACCATCCTTTCGGATGTCAATTAAAACTGACACCAACATTTACACGTGTATCACAACTTCTGTGTTAAAGTACTGAAATGTAAAATGGAGTTTCTATAACAACCAGCAAACACAAGGTTGATATTCATTAACACTTGTACTTTGAGGTAGATTTGACATCCCATGTTTTCAAAGAATTCTTCTATCATTTGAGCCACTTCCTTTTTACATTGTGGTTAACAGCATCAGTTTAAACTAGACAGTTGTTTTGAGAAATAGACCCTAACTATAAAGAAGGCATTTTCTTCATGCCCTCAGAGAAATACTCTACTTAATTTAAGATTCTCATTCTCAAAATTCAGTTAAAGGGTACTGTTTGTGGGGATGCAAATTAGTGCAGCCATTGCGAAAAACAGTGTGGAGGTTCCTCAAAAAATAACGAATAGAAACGCCATGCAATTCAGTGATTTCACTATTGGGTATTTATCCAAAGAAAACAAAAACACTGATTTGAAAACGTACATGCACCCCTAGGTTTATTGCAGCATTGTTTACAATGGTCAAGATAGGGAAGCAACCCAAGTGTCCACCGATAAATGAATGGATAAAGAAGATGTGTTGTATATACATACATGCAATAAAATATTCCTCAACCACAAAAAAGAATGAGATCTTGCCATTCGTGACAAGGTGGATGCACCTAAAGGGTCTTATGCTGAATAAAATAAGTGAGAAATACAAATATCATATAATTTTGCTTATACATGGAATCTTAAAAACAAAACAAATGAATAAACAAACAAACACAGACTCTTAAATACAGAGAACAAATAGGTTGCTGCCAGAGGGAAGGTGGGTGGGGGGGATGAATGAAGTATATAAAGGGGAATAAGAGTGTAAACTTCCAGTTATAAATAAGTCACAGGGATGAGAAATACGCATAGGTCAAAATATGGTCAAAGTATGGTCAAAAATATTGTAATAACATTATATGGTGACTACATTTTTCATGGTGAGCACTGAGTAATGTATAGAATTGTCGATCAATATGTTGTGTACCTGAAACTAATATACTATTGTGTGTTAATTATACTTCCATAAAAGGCCAAGCTGAAGCCACCAAAGAATAGGATATGGAAAGGGTCCATGAGTGCTGATGTTGAACTATCAGATATTCAGAGGGAGGGGAATGATGATCCTGTTAGCTGAAAGGAGCAGATAAATTTCCAAAGTCTGAGCATCTGGGTTAATGGAGAAAGAGGGAAGGAGTGAGGGAGGGAGAGAGCGAGCCTGCAAGAGCGCTCAAGGAGGGAAGGAACAGATACCCAGGTTTGGAGTGATATTGTATTAATCAATTCTTGATGATCCACATGGTAACCCAGAGAGATGATGAACTCACACACACTCTAAGCTACATGGGAGTACCTTAACCAACCCCCTGCCTGCCCAGGGAATGGTCAGGTGAACTGACTGAGAGCAGGAGAAGTGACACTTCCGGTGAGACAGATGAGGAACCCTGAGGCCTCTAGATTTCTTGTTTTCATTTCCACGGAGATTACCCCAGCTAGAGATGTTTTGGGGTAGGTGTGGCACCACAGTGACGTCTGTGGCCTTCCTTAGGAGGAAGTTGTAATGTATAATATTTTCTTTGAAAAGATTTCACTACATTTCTCTGTCTTCTAGCTATGGTAGGTTAAGTTTTGGTACTGTCTGTTTGGGAAAAGCTGTTGGAAATTTTGTCTTCATTTATGTCCTGAGAGTGTCCTCATGTTGCAAAAAGTATTGACCCTGAAATAAGAGAACTCACAAGATTGGGACACTGAGATTGCTCAGGACTTTCTTACCAAGCTGGCTTATTCACCTAATGCATTAGGAAAGAAAAAGTTTACATTTGTCATTCTGTTTTTTTTTTTATTTTACTCTGCTAATTTTATGAAGAAACTTGTACTTCACGTTTTAACATCACTGCGGTCAGAGGGGAACCTTTCTATCTGAAATATTGCCCATCAGCATCTGAGCACAAGAATGACGCAACCACCATAAAATGGTACAAGAGCAGTGGATCACATGGGCTCATTGAGCTAAATTCAAGCAATTCACCCAGAATTATTCTGCACGATTATATTTTGGAGTTTTGGCCAGCTGAGTTGGAGGACAGTGGATCTTACTTTTTCCAAATGGGGTGAGTATAGCTTCTCTTGTGTTAGTATTTTTCATAGCACTCTTGGAATGAGTTCAGCAAATCAGATATACAACAATCTGAAAGGATAATCCATGTATTTACTCTCCCCTACCCTTCCTCCAACATGCATAAAGCCTTCATCATTGACAAATTAAATTAAATAGTTGCCCTTGTGTTTATCTTCTTAGTGATCTTAACAAAGGATTACCTTAATTTCTTTTAGGGGATCCTTCCCAAAGATAAGTGGGTACCAAATGAAAGTCATTTTACAATTCAGCTGCTCCCATTGTATAGAGTTGCTGGTCAAATGGAATAGGTGAAGGCTCCATAGTGAAGCCTTCAGGGTGTGGTGAAGGGGGGCAACCTCAGCTTCCCTGGGTGGTATCCTCAGACTGGGGAGAGAGGTCAGAATTGGTACTGACACATCCTAGTCCAGTTTTCCAGGGTTTGTAGAGTATCAGGGGGTAGTGTGAGTGAAGGGTGCAAGCCAGTCACAGACCTACAGCCAGGGCCAGCAAGAGAGGGGAACACAGAAAGAGCTTTGCACCGCCTTCCCAGGACATACCCCTATAGCCTCTGCCAAGACACTCATAATCAAGAGTCATAAGTTCTATGAAATGAGAGAAACTAACTGAATGTTTCAGTGATTGTCACTGAACTAAGTTCTCTTTATACTTTATTTGGTAAGCTGGGAAGGAGTAACTGGGACAGGCGATGTTCTATGTAATGGCTTATTAGGCTTGATGGCATGGTGTTGATCTGGCACATTTGTGGCATTGTGTAGTACTTGCATATATATATGAGTATGTGTGTATTTTTATAGAGATCTGAAACTGGCTGACCTGTGGAAGATAGCTCAGGGCCAGGTGAGTGAGTGATGGTGGTGTGCTATCAGATGTAGTAGATTTCTGGGGTGGGTCCTGATCATTATCAATAGTGCTATTGAAAGCAGAGGGAGATAGTGCAGTGAAACCTTGTTATCACTCCTGTGGTTTTGCACAAAATGAGGTCATTTTGGTTAGTTTTTATACATAGGAACTCCTAGGAGTCAGAAAGAAATTCAAGAACTCTTTCATTGTTTGTTTTGACCAGTGAATTTTATGTGTTCATTTAAGAGAGATAATTCTAGAAATAGGTCACAGCTAGGTCTTTCCACACTAATGTAGAATGAATACTCACCAATGGGGTAAAAAAAAAATCTCCGCAATCTGGATTGAATAAGGGCACAATTTAAATGAAGAAAGCAGGGGTGCCTAGGTGGCTCAGTGGTTGAGCATCTACCTTTGGCTCAGGTCATGATCCTCGGGTCCTGGAATTGAGTCCCACATTGAGTTCCCCGGGGGAGCCTGCTTCTCCCTCTGCCTGTATCTCTGCCTCTTCCTGTGTCTCTCATGAATAAAAAAATACGATCTTTAAAAAGAAAAAGAAAGAGAGAAAGAAAGAAAGAAAGAGAAAGAAAGAAAAAGAAAGAACCCTGGACGGGGCAGGAAGACCACACTGAGGGGAAGAGCCAGCTATCCAAAAATGTTACTTGGAGACAGGTAGGGACTGTCTAAGGGACTGTCTAATGTCTAAGGCATTAACTGTTGCCCTGTTATGGAAGGTGGAGAACACAGCCTGGATTAGGAATGAAAAGTGGAAGCATCAAATAGAGACAGGCTGTCAGAGAGGTGTGGAGAATCAGGAAGAGGAGCCCAGAGGGCAGGAGAAACAAGGTGGCTCAGTGGCTATGGTGATGAACTTTGAAGGGTCTTGGAGGCTGATGAATAACGAATAACACGAGACTAAAGTGATGGAATGAGAAGCGGCCTTGAGGTGGTTTTGAAAATTAATGGGTGGGGTATTAGGGGGTGGGAGTACAGTGCCTGGGTGGCTCAGTTAGTGAAGTGTCTGCCTTTGGCTCAGATCATAATCCTCCCTGCTCAGTGGGGTGTCTGCTTCTTCCTCTCCCTCTGCTCCTTCCTCTGCTCATGCTATTTCTCTTGTTCACTCTCTCTCAAATAAGTAAATAAAATCTTTTAAAAGATAAAAAAGAAAAATCAATGGGAACCTATACAGGTTGTTTTGGACACCTAGGGGTGCTAAAGATGGGGATTTTTTTTTTCAAATTCGGTGCACTGGTGAAGGTATCCTGTTTCCCTCAGAGGAGTGCGTGTGTGTGTGTGTACATGTGTGCATGTGTGCATGTGTGCACAGATTTAGGTGAGTGAGCCTCTGTAATTTCATGTGAAATCCATTGAAGACCAGACTCCACTCCTGGAATCCCTCCATTAGAACAATAATCCTTTCATTTTTCAGGACTCCTCTGCTAATAATCAAAGGCCTCTGGAGACATGCTTGAATCCTGAAGTCAGATCAAATTTAAGGAGGAAATCCACCAAGAAGGGAGGAGATGCAGGAGAGAGGGGGTTTCTATGATAGATGGGAGGGGAGGGCATGGAGATAGAGAGAAAAGTGCATGCAGAACTCTCAGGATCATGTACCAGCTTGACAAGCAGCAGGATTGACTTGGTAAGGGGTCTCCCAAGAATGAGCTAGAGCTTTTCAAATCCCTTCTTGTGTGGCAGGAGTGGCTTGTGTAACCAGGAATGGATGGCCTTGTAGGAGAGGAGGCACGGTCACAGCTTTGGGTCAGTTGCCTCAGCTTCACACTGGCCTTCCAGCTCCTTGAGCAAGGACAGTGCCCACTTGAGCATTCCCAGTGCGGTGGCAGGGACACAGAGGCATTCTGCTACGGTGCTCACCGAGTGTTAGGAACTGGGGATTGCAGATGTAGACAACAGTATGGCCTGATAGGATGGAAATATGCATGTGCTCTCTTTCTCGTAAGTGACAGGACAGAAGGATCTAGAAATATATCTCTGTCCAGCCCAGAGGGGCTGAAGTCGGGAAAACATTAGATACACATGAGAAGAGGATGATGCCAATGGGATTCTGAATCCTTTCCAAAGGGCCGGTAGCTGTATTATGTTCCACGGCCATAGACTTACCTACCTTTCATCTTTAGGACAGCTTGTCAAGGCACCCACCACTTCCTGCCCAGCCCTGACCAGTCTTGTATGAATACACCCCCGAGGGAGGGGCCAGACTCACATTGACCCTGAAAGCATAGTATTGGGCAATACAGTACTGCCTTTAGTTCCAAACTGATGTGGTTTGCATCCTGACCCTGCTGCTGACCCTGTGGGAATTTGGGCGAGGTACTTAGCTTTATGTGACGATTATCTTAATTACCTCACATTAGAGAAATCGCCATCCCCATTGCACACACACGTGCAATTCCTGGAGCTCAGTAAATGCTAGTCTTCCTTCCACACTGTAGACCTGGAGGGGGACTGCAAGAGCCTGGAGTGGGTGGGTACAAATGTGTCAGACACAAAGGACAACCTAACACATGGCTGTTGTATTTAGTATATGGATCCATATATTGCATGTGCTGTTTAAACAAACATCAGGTTGCAAACATTTCCTTGCTTAGAAATTCCTTTTTAAAAACTGTGTTAAAGTTGTTTCCTCTTGCAGACTACTAATTTCTAATCGGAAGGAACAACATCAAGATCTATTCAAACTAATGTTAGCTCAGTAAGGCACATAAAGTGCTAATAGAGCTATGCAGCCACTCCACAGTTGGCTTTACTCAACAGTAATAGAAGAGAAGAGGATTGGAAGAAACTGCTCAGAGAAATATAAAAACCCAATGCATATATACAGACTTCCAGAAAACAAGTTCAGGAGTTTGTGGACTTCAAAAACCTGCTGCTGCTGTCCCATCCTGGGTTAAGAATCTTTGAACTTGTCTATCTCCAAAGATCATTGAAGTTTTAAACATTTCTGTCCAGACACCCATAATATATGGTCAGCAGTAGGTTTTGTGTGTGTGTGTGTGTGTGTGTGTGTGTGTGTGTGCGTGTGCATGTGCGCGCGCACGTAGAACTGCTCAGGTTTTTCTCTTTCACTGTCCCTTACCATTGTCCCATGACAATTGTTAAATACTTGCTGCAACTGAACCAAAATGGGGCAGAGCAGGGTCTGGGCATCAGTGAATGAGTCTCTTATTTATAGACAAATAAGGAAAGATTTTCACTGGATTGGTTACTAAAAGGTGGTATTTGCAAAGTCTGTACTAATTATAAAATATCTTTAAATCTTTATTTCATAGAAATGATACCCGTGAATGGAAATTAAATGTCATTGCAAGAAGTAAATACAGCTGTTTTGCTGAAAAACAACTAATTAGTAAAATTGTGGAAGTTCAAAAATCTTTGCATATAAACTGTGAACATACATACTATCAAAAACTGTCCAATAGAACATCACTGTATAAGGTAATGCTTTTAAAATATTTTAAGGGGCACCTGAGTGGCTCAGTTGGTTAAGTGTCTGACTCTTGATTTCAGCTTAGACCGTGATCCCAGGGTCCTGGGATTGAGCCCCGTGTCGGGCTCTGAGCACAGCAGGGAGTTGGCTTCAGATTCTCTCTCTCCCTCTGCCCCTCCCCTCTTTCTTTCTCAAAAATAAGTAAATGAATCTTTAAGAAATACTTTAACTTAAGACTTGAGGAAAAAAAGACAAAAATCCAAAATGAGGATCTGCTGGCGGAGGAGTATTTTTGTCTTGTCATATGCAAGCTGCATGAGCCCCCCCCCCCCCCCACCCACAGCTCAGCTGGCCTGTCTAAGCAAAGTGCCCTGGCAGGGAGGCTGAAATGAGTTCCTGCTCCAAATTAAATGTTCAATAAAAGATAACAGCTTCCTCTTCCTTGCCCCCCCCTTTATTTTCCTTCACTTTTGATAAATTAATTTTTAGGAATGCTAGCCTAAGGATTTTCATTTTCTTCTGCCATATATATTTAAAAAATTAAATTCTATTATATATACTTTTTCCCTAATCACACAATTCCTTTTATAAAAATGGAAGATGCAAAAATGAGCAATGAAGATAGTAGAGCTCACTCAGAATTCCACCAGCCAGAGACTTTGGGGTTTGTGTGTGTGTGTGTAAACATTTGCTTTTAAAAAGTGGTATTTAAACTTCTTAAAAATAAAAAATGGTATTTTTAATGGCTTGTAGTTTTCCTCTATCCACTAAAAATTATATTGTGATTATTCCCCTACATCTTTAAACACTCTTACAAACGTGGGCTTCCATTGTGTATTACACTTGTGTCTAACTAATCCTCTGGTTTGGGGTATTTGTTAGTTTCCTTGTTTCCACTATTATTTATAAGGCTAAAATAAATATCATTCCCATAAGTCTTAGGGTGTATGCATGATTTTATTCTTCAATCATATCCCTACAAGTAGAATTATTGTATCAAAGGCTATGAGCAGATTTATGGCTTTTGCTCCACATTATTAAACTCCTCTCTCTGGAACTACACTAGTTCTAAACCATCTTTTCAACCACCACCACACACACTGGGAAGTCATACTGTTAGAACATTTATGAATTTGACATGCAAAATTTCTGTAATTTTTAGTAGCTTTTCCCCATTTCTTTTCTTAATAATAAATTGAACATTTTTATATATCGATTGCACCTTAGTATTACTTCTTTTGTGGATGATCTATTTTCTTCAGCTGGCATACCTTTTACTTGAATTATAAGAGCTCTTTTAGACAATACTATAGAGATTATATATATATATATATATATATATATATATACATTCACATATGTATTATATATAACCTTACAGTATACACATATATAATATATACACATGCATAGTATTCATACATGCAGATGCACAATACAAATTATATTACTTCTATAGAAGAACAAACCTGAAAAATGTGACTCTGTTATGCAAATTTTAAAGATATTTATGGGAAAGTGATCCTGACAGAAGCCTTTCAGAAAGTTGAAGCTACAGATGATTTCCTAGAAACCTTTGTTTGCATATTTTGCTTTACCACTCTTGTGATTTTTCAGGGAAAGCTCTTATCCAAATGTTTTCTAAATGTCTAAGCCAGTCTAGTTGACTTGATTCTATTTCCTGTCATGTGTAAATATTTTAGAGTAATACAAATTTGTGAGGTTCAGTGTACTAGATTTCAAGAAGTCTCAACATGAGGATACTTAAATTTAGAAAATAGATCTATTAAGGATGTTTCCAGCTCTATGGTTAACCGCAGGGTTCAGCATTCTCAGCCTAATTACAGATCATTGCCTGAAGGGAGGAGAGCAAGGAAGCTAAATCAACTGATTGGAAATAAAAATGAAGTCTTTGATATTTTAATGTGCCTTGGAAAAAACAGTTTGAGTTCAAAAATTTGACATATAAAGAAACAATTTACTGAGGTGAGGGACATATGTGAGTGCTTCACCAAACCATGCTAAGTACCCTCTGGGTCTAGCCCCAGTTGCTGCCAGTTTTAGCACCTTCAAGAGAAATCTGTGAGTGGTACATTCTCCTTGTTCAGTGTTTGTGGGAACAATGTCACATAGTCAGGGTTAGCAATTTAGCTTCCATTTTCTGTATCTGGATTTTATATTGCTTTAGAACCTCTTCTGTGGGTGACTGGAGGCTAGATTGAAGAAGGTGGCTTTTTTTGCTATTATTCATTCCTGTGACCCATATGGAAATTTGTGATGAAGAGACACGTTTGTGTGTGCCTATGGATTTGAATGTCCTGATACATTTATGATCAGTCCATCAGTCCATTGTCTTCTGGTGGAAGACATCAAGGGGGTGGGTGTTCTGCTAGGTACTTGGGTTTCTGAAAAATTCTGCTCCCACCTCCACTACCCACCCCCAGGATGGGTAGTCCTGAGTATATGAAATTAGATGCGGTGCCAAGTCACTGGGACATCACCTCAGAAATTGCTAGTTTTCATTCTGTTTCCCTTTTTTGATAAATATCTTAAAAATTTTTGAATCAATATAATGTGGTACTGCTTTTACTTAAAATATTTTAACTTTATTATTTTTTTTGTACAAAACAGAACTGTGAAAAGATAGAGAACAATAAAAACCCAGCTTTACAGAAGAATGCAGAATTTAATGATCAGGGATATTATACCTGTGTGTTTTTCATTCATCATAATGGAAAACTATTTAATGTCACCAAAACCTTCAATGTAACAGTAGTTGGAGGTAAGAGAAATTTTAGAATCAGAAAGAAACAAATGTGTCTTTGTAAAATGGAATTTTTTTTTGTAATGCAGCACAGGAATCTAGAGGCAACTTACTTGGAGTTGTGACCACATCGCTAAGTCAAATATAAGGGTCAAGTCATTTGGGCATCATGCACCACACTGGAAGGATTTTTTTCTGGGAGGGGTAGTAAATGACCTTTATGAAGGTGAGCCTCCCATGAGTCAGCACTCTTATTTCATGTTTGAGTAATTTATGGAATTTCTTGTTGTTTAGTTATACTTTCACTCAACAGATATTTGTCAAGGGTGTTTATATTCAAAGAACTGTACTAAGCATCAGGGAAATAGGAAATGAAGTAATAACTATTCTCGAGGAACTTGATTATAAGGCAGGAGAAGTAATAAGCTACACAGGAATACCCTAGTATATGAAACTGGATTCATCTGTGGGGTGTGAAGGGTACAGGGAGAGTCCAGGAGACTGAGCTAAGTTTAAAGGTTGAATATGACAGATGGGCAGGATGACATGCTGGGGACAGGGTCTCTGGGTTTTCAATGATGTACTTCAAGTTTTAGTAGATGGCATACTGTCTCAAAGGTGTCCTTTTATACCACCTCTTCCCAGGGCTCCCACTGACGTTCCTGAGGGGGGAAGAAGGATGGATCCAGAGAAAGATAACCAATAACAATTTTCCACAAAACCACCTCTTGCCCCTTTGTCCTTGAATCCACTCATGTCCCTCAGTATTCTCAAGACCTGAGAGTTCTTATTTCTCTGGGAGACATCCCAAATCCTGCTGTCCACCTATATGAATTCCAGGCTTGCGCAGAGAATCTGAATCCCAGAGGAACCAAATCTGACTTGCTGGGGGCTTCACTTTGCAAGTTTCATCTTCTAGCTCTTACCCACACAATCACCACTCTGTTCTCTACCCTTCACTCTGCAGCATCACACTTGCTGAGAGGGCTTAGGTAGGTGAGGGTGCTGCAGGAGAGCTCCCCAGTCTCCTTCCCTCCTTGTGCATAGTCACTGTTTGCTGAGCACCTGTAAGCCCCAGGAATTTGCTGAGCACCTATAATGACTGTTCTGTACCTTACTTGTAAATGCCCCAGAAGCACCTGCTGTACGAGAAGGGAGAGTCTAGATCATAAAGAAAGTTGCCAGTGCTGACAGTAAGACTATCAAGAACTTGACAACATTCAACATTCACTGTATGCTCTAAGTGTTCTGCAGTTAGTAGCTGCCCTAGGTTGTTTGAAAGCATTCAGAAAGAGGCTGAGGCGGAGAGTTTATGTACCTCTAGTCAGGGTCAGAAGTCACTCAGGAACAAAAGCAGAGCTAAGCCCACAGATGTGGACACCCCCGCAGGGCCAGAACTAAGGTGAGGCAAGGGAGGCATTCAGAGCATAAGACTGAAGGGGTGTTCCCCTCTGTGCCTGCACGGGAAAGGTCGACACCTGAGAGCGAGTGCCTTGCCTACCGCATGGAGTTTTGTTGTAGGTGTTTTGTATTGTACTGTTTTGTATTATCAGGTGATCGAAATATATTCTTGAATTAAATCCTGTGCCCAATAAATCTATCTTCGAGGAGTCGAGGGGGCAGACAGAAGGAATAAAGGCACTTCCACATGACTTTGCGTCCTACAGGTGTGCTTGTCCGCCTGGATGAGCATCTTCCTCTGGTTTTTAGTTACAGAAGCCACAGATTTGAGTTGAGGGAAACCAAATGCAATGCATTTTCTCCAGTTACATTAGCTCTGAGTGGACAGAAAGCAAAACATGCAATATCAGCTGCAACTGTTACTTAATGACAATAAGGCAGAAGTAAATGTGAAGGGATGACTCTCAGAATCTGTGTTATAGGGTGTCAGTGTGTCACAAGTACCTGACTTAGAGAAGCTCAATGCAATGCTGACTCAGTTTTCTTTTCTTCTTTCACTTTTAGATCGCAGTAAAATAATTCCTGTTCTTCTTGGACCAAAGCTTAACCATGTGAAGGTGGAATTAGGTATGTTTTGACATATATATATATATATATATATATATATATATATATATTCTGCATTTAAGAATGGAAGGGGGTTAAGTGAGTCTTTCAAGGCTAAATCTGATTCATGATTAATCAATATTGTGTGTGCATCACACATGTTAGGTTTAGTTAAGAATATTACAAAGGGAGGAAAAGCCTGTCATTGTTTGCATGTTGCCATTTTTAGGCTGATGAAAATGAAGTCTGTTGAAAACATAGAACCGCTTGTGGTTTTTAGATAGGGTTTTGGTTGCCCTGCTGTGGCTTTTTTCTAATAGTTTTTATGGTAACTTTTAAATATGAAAATTTTGTGAAAGACTCTCTAGAAGAAGGATTCAGACTTATTCTGTGGTCTGAATATTTGATTGATAGATCAATGGGCTTTGAATCAATGGACTTAATTGTACATTTAAGATTTGTCTAGATAGGTCTTGATGAATCAACACCTCCAGTTATATATAAGTAATTCCTTTCCAGAAGGAAAGGAAGTTTAGAAATTCACATATGCTAAACCATGTTTTGTACTAGGTTATTGCAATATATTCTTAAATTAAATCCCCCAAACAACTCCAAGAGCTATTATTCCTATCTTGTGGATTAGGTGACCAAAGCCCAGAACGGTTCAGTAATTTGTCTAAAGTTAAACAAGTGAAAACTGGCAAAGCTGGGGTTCAAGGCTTTGGTACGTGTTTCCTAAGCCCACACGTTTGGCCCATGGCCTGTCACAGTCATTTGTGGGACCCCACCTACCCAATATAGCCCGAATATGTTGCCATTTGTAGTTTTAGTTTGCCCGCTTTTGATTGATTTCTGAACTCAGCTTTATTATTTCTTTCTTCTCATTTTGTGCTTAATTTGCACCTCATTTTTCATTTGTCAAGATGGAGACAAGGAGAATTAATGTCAGCTATCCTTTCTTGTAGCACATGCATTTTTAAGCTCTAAAGTTCCCTCTTATCACGACTTGAGCTGTTTATTAAAAAATACGGGTATGCCAGAGTTTCATTACTATTCAGTTCAAACATTAAAAAACTTCTCTTGTGATTTGTTCTTTCATTTATGGATCATTTGTTCTTCTTAATTTCCATGTCTTTGGGGGAATTTTCTAGTTGTTTTTTGTTGTTGTTGTTACTGACATCCAGTTAGGTTCCGTTCTGGTCCAATATTTAACACTGTATCAGTTCAATCTCATGACATTTGTAGGTAACTTGCTTACAGGCCAGAATGTGGTGAGTCTTGATGAGTGTTCCAATGCATTTGACACAAATGGATGTTCTGCAGGTTTGGGTTTTATCATTCCGTAAAGACCAATGACGTGAAATTAGCCAATGGTATTGTTCAGCCCATCTATATTTTAGCCGGTCTTTTTTTTTTTTAATAATAAATTTATTTTTTATTGGTGTTCAATTTGCCAACATGCAGAATAACATCCAGTGCTCATCCCATCAAGTGCCCCCTCCGTGCCTGTCACCCATTCACCCCCACCCCCCGCCCTCCTCACCTTCCACCACCCCTAGTTCGTTTCCCAGAGTTAGGAGTCTTTATGTTCTGTCTCCCTTTCTGATATTTCCTACCCATTTCTTCTTCCTTCCCTTCTATTCCCTTTCACTATTATTTATATTCCCCAAATGAATGAGAACATATAATGTTTGTCCTTCTCCGATTGAATTATTTCACTCAGCATAATACCGGTCTTTTATGTGTTTTCTTTATCTGTTACTAGGAGGTGTTAACATCTCCAACTATGATAGTCAATTTATCTCTGTATCCTTTAGTTCTGTCGATCTTTGCTTTATATATGCTGAGGTTCTCTTATGGGCACATACAAATTGATGCTTATTGAATCGATCCTTTATCATTATAAGATTTTTCTCTTTATCTGTCATACTTCTTTCCTGAGTGCCTAAGTTCTCCGATAATAAGTAGACATAATAGTTTTCTCTTGTTTGGGATTGGCAGGCTTTATCTTTTTTAACTCCTTTTACTTTTAACATTTCTTTGTGAATCCAATACACAAGATGTGTTTCACATAAACAGCATGTATTTGGATCTGTTTTGAAATCCAGTCTGCATAGTGCGTAGCCTGTTTGCATTTAATAAATTACTGATGGAGGTGGTGTGAAGCCTTTCATCTTACTGCCCGTTTTTTAGTGGGCTTACATATTCTTTCTTATTCCTTCCTTCCTTTTGGGTTCATAAAGTATTTTTCTTTCCTTTATTTAATCTGCTTGGTTTTCCCTTTAGCTACACCTCTCGTATCCTTCATTGGTAGTTCTAGAGATTGCAATATGTATCTTTGTCTTACTGCAAAAGAGAAATGTATGTCTCTGTACATTTATCACTCCACAGCTGGTGAGGACCTTGTGACAGTTCATTTCATTTGTCCTCCTACCTCACTTTGTGCTGTTATTTTATGTATTTCTCTCCTGCATATGTGCTAAAACTCACAATAAATTGACCTTGTTATTGCTTTAAATAACCCACATTCTTTTATAATTACTCAAATATTTGTGTTTTCTTATGCTCTTCATCTGTTCCTGTAGTTCCCTTGCTTTCATCTGAGATAGTTTTTCATGAGTCTGAAAACTTTCCTCTGTGATTTCTTGCAGTTTGGTTATGCTGCAGTGAGGGGAGGTGTGGGGTGCACTTAGGGGCTTTAGTCAGGTGTTTGTTGCACACCTTTTACTCTAAGTGGGACTTTATCTCCTAAGTACGATGAAGTACTTATGTACTTAAGTACTGTAGGCAAAACCATTCAGCCTTTGCAGCCTCTACAGCAATAATCCTGCAAGCCATGTGGCTGTCAGAATTTCCACTGGGCTCTCTTTTCTCTGTGAGATTCCCTCTACACCATATAAACCAAAACAAATTTCTCCCAGGAATAAGATGGCTGGCTATCTCAGCTCCGATTGGAAGGGCTTTTTCCTGACTGCTTTTTCAGCTCTGCTCTCTCTCTTTGTTTTCCCTGCACTTTGAGGTCTTTAATTTTTTGCTAATTTAATTTTTTTGTGTGTGATTCGTCCATTTTGTTTTTTTAGAAGTTGCCATAGGAGTGTTGGCCTGACACTCCCTACTAAACTGTATGTTGAAAAAAATTCCACTGGCTACTCCAAGTTTTAATAATTGATTTAAAGGTAAACATTTGAAGAGAAGCCGATTCATAATCTGATGATGACTTATAATTGCTTACCTAATGGCTCTGCCTTATACATTTTTTTAAAATTTTAAAAACAAGGTACATATCTGTTTTATTGCTGGGATGTAGCACTTTATATATTAGGTTCAGACATATTGATTGTATTCATTTTAAACCTTTGGGAAATCTGAGTTTCCAATATCAGAACATTGGCTGTCAACTTTTACATAGGAAAAGATGTAGAACTCAACTGCTCTGCTTTGGCGAATGAAAAGGATGCGGTTTATTGGAACGTGTGGGAGGAAAATGGGAAGGAACCTAACGTACATGAAGAGGACATAACAAGAATTAGGTATGTATATCTGATGTGTTATATATCACGATATATACAAATCACATTGTATTGTAGATACATGATATAGAAAACACTAGAGTTCCTGGGCATCTGTGCTCTTTCCATAGTTTGGCTATTGTGGACATTGCTGCTATGAACTTTGGAGTGCATGTACGCTTTGGAATCAGTATGTCTGCATCCTTTGGATAGATACCTAGTAGTGCATTTGCAAAAGAGCAACAACAACCCCCCCCCCCCCAAAACACCAGAGTCCTGAAAGGCTGACTGGATGTTTAAATTTTAATTATAATTTACATATTTTATAATTATAATTACCATGCTCTAAGTTGATGAATTATGCAGAAGTCTTTTGCCGAGATCTAAACTAGAAAAAGAAGGTCAGTGAGGATTTTCCTCATCACCTTACAAAAGGAGCGTTTGATCAGTCAGGTTCTGACGGGGATGGGGATTTTATTTACACATCTTAAAAAAAGATTAGCTAGGCCACAGTTTTTTGGATTTTGAAAATTTAAAAATTATTTTTAGTAATGTGCCAGAGAAAAGACCAGGTCAGGAGACTGGGGTTTGTGTAGGTTAATTTGCACACCTTGTGTGCAGGAGGCATGCCTTGCTGTGACGCCCACACATCACTGCAAGATCATGAGGGAGTCTGTAGATTGCAGGGTATCTTTCCCTGCATGGCCCTGGGTCCCCCCCCCCCCCCCGCAGGCCATCTACTGCTACCTCTCCAGATCCACATCCTGTACTTTACTTTCACACACATACCTTCTTTTTTTTTTTCCGATTGTTCAAAAAAAATTCATCATCGGAAAGTTGAGAAATACAGAAAATCCCAAAGAAGGAAATAGTCATTTGAAGACAGTTTTATATGTGTGGGGAATTCTTTGATAGGCATGAGATCCACTGACATAGATTTTGCCTCCTGTGCTTTAGAGGTAGTCTGTAGCTTCTTTTTAGAATGTTTATTGCAATGATTATCTTTCTTAAAAGTAAGCATGAAGGTATTTTATCAAGTATGGAAGAGTCTCCAAAGCTTGTCAGTTGTAAGTTTTCAAGGAAGCACTAATGGGCCCGTCACCTACCCTGTGACATTCATTGTTGGCAGATTGACATAGAACATAGTTATTATGGCCGCATTTTGCTGTCAAGAGTCCATTAATGGAAATCAGAAACACCATAAGAACAGGTAAAAAAAGAAAAAAGAAAAAGAGCATTGGTCAGATATAAATATCGAGGAGGCAACTTTAGTGCAGGAAGTTTCAAATCACATGTGTATTAATACTTGCATAGCAAAAAAAAAAATACTTGCACAGCCTATGTTCTTCCAGTAACACAATAAAACAAAACATGCTATGCCTGTGGTCAGTGAAGTGTTTTTAAATGACTCTGGGAGATTCCCTTAATTAGTAATGTACTGATACACTCAGGTTTAGTGAGTAGTGATCCCAGGGTGTCTGTCACTTTGGCTGCACATTTGAGGGTTTTGATCCCTGCTTTTTACACTTCAAAACCTTCTTTGTCATCATGCTAGCAGCTCTCCATTCTTGCTTACAGTTGCCCCACAAGCTCCTAACAGTGTGTGTGGTGGGGGTCTGTCACCTTGGCCTGTAGCAGACATGTGAATGTTGGTCCAGGGGAACTGTGTGGCTGTCCTCCTCAGCATCAGACCTTCACTGGAGCTCTGCAGGTCCTGCTTCTAGTGACCTATTGCTAATCTTTGGAGGGATAGAAGACCAACTCACCAAACTTTGAAATAGAGCTTCAGTTCAGCTAGGAGATCAGGGTGGTCTTTCTTTAGAGTTAGGTGCAGGCGCTTTTTCTGTTGTCTGTTTTGGCTTCTCACTGGCCTTTGGTGCCTTACTTTGGGGTCTTTCCCTGAAGTCAGATAGTTGATATTTCTGGATTGGTGACTTCTGTACCGAATTATGTTCTGAAATGTATTTGAGACCGTTCGAGGCTGTGGTGGGTGCTGTGTCCCAAGTTCTAGAGACACCTGCTGCTGGGGGTGTGGCAGGTGAGTGACCCCACCTGCGGAGTGCTTTCAAAGTTGTCCCTGGCAGGGAAGCAGATGTCATGAGTAGTTGCCTGGCATCAACGACAGAGCAACTTGAATCTTTTAGGAAAAAGACAGCTTGCTGCTACTGGTCATCTAAGTTATTTTCTGATACTCTCTGAGCAGCTTAACTGGTATTTCTCATGTGCCTGTGGGTATGTCTGAGAATAGTATGCCTTTTTTTTTTAAAGATTCTTTTTCCTTTTTTTTAAACATTTATGTTTTTATTTTAGAGAGAGGGAGAGCATGTGAGCAGGGGGTGGGGCAGAGGGGGAAGGAGAGGATCTCGAGCAGACTCCACACTGAGCTCAGAGCCCAATGCGGGGCTCAGTCCCAGGACCCTGAGATCATGACTTGAGCCAAAATCGAGAGTCAGACGCCCAACCAACTGAGCCACCCAGGAGTCCCGAATAGTGTCATTCTTAAGTTTATTTTCAATGCTGAATAAAATAAAAGCAATCTTTAGGATTGCATGGATAAGCCTCATAAAAGTCTGTATCCATGCCGAACCATTTGCAGCCTTGTCACTATTGGTGAAGACCTCCGTTAGGAGGAACACTAAGTAATTAGGAGAAGAGAAATAGGGACAAATCATTGAGAGAATGTTTTCTTGTGTTTTTAACTCAGCATTATTACCTTCCAGCATTTTCATTCTGGGCAGTTCCCCAGGTGGCCTGAGGAGGGCTGTTTGTGTTTGCACTAATGCTCCCTGGAGGAGCAGAGGTTTGTGGTGGCCCACGCTCTGAGCGCCCATCAGAAAGGGAAGGTTCCATGGAGCAAACAGATCCACTGCTTTTGAGTATTTGCACATGTGAATTCCTCTCTCGTGGGCAATGTTGCTGGCAATAACCAAAGCCTATTGATGAATTATTTCCTCTTTTACAGGACCCTGGAAGGCAAATTGTATGCATCAAGAATATTGAGAATTGAGAATATTAATGAAAAAAATCTACTTTTTTCATATAATTGCTCTGTGGCCAGCGAGGGAGGCACAGACACCATCCACTTTGTCTTGCTGAAAAAAGGTATGTGAAAGTTTTATTTTGATAAGCTTGTGGAAGCTTAGAATGTTGCAGCTGGAGACCCCTCCAAGATCACCACTCCCTCCTTTCACACCCCAGGAAACAAGCTCTGGGAGGTGAAGTGGTCCACTTTGTGTCACAGGCCTTCGGGCTCATTGGGGCTCAGTTGGAGTTCGCTGCGTGTTGATTCCATGTAGAGAATGAAAACACAAACTCTGTTCCTTCCCGCTCAGTCATACCGCAGACCTAGGTAGAAACCGGGAGACAGAGATGTGTGGCTGAGTGTCGTGGGGGAGGCAGACAGGGCAGGTCTGGCACATTCACAATGATGGGAGGCAAGCTTGCAGCTCCATGGAGGATGAGGCCAATGACACTGGGTGTCCTGCCACCTCCAGCCTACCTTAGCTGGTCCCAGGGCACAGGGGGCCCTTGGGTGCAGTCATTCACTCAACAAAGATGAACCGAGGCCTCCCTTCCTTGGGCCAGTCCCTGGACCTGGCAGGTAGACAGCTGATGGCTCACATCAGTGGACTCCTAAAGTTTTTCACTGCCTACCTGATGGAGCATTCCAGAGTCATCCCTCTCCATCCTCCACCAATACAGTACAACCCAGGGCCATTGGTCCAAGAGCTACTCAGAAGTGGCTTCATATTATGGATGAAGACATGAGAGTTAAGGGCATCAGTGACTTTCCCTGGGACACAAACTGCGTGACGGAGCCAGGCGGGGAGCCTAACGATCTTTCTCTTTCAAGACTACACAGGTCCATTTATGTTCTCAATGTATGAGCTGAGATTAGGTTTGGGTCCCTCTGCATTTCACTCTAGTATCTTATCCTCCTAGAGACTTGCCTTCCTCAAGTAGAGATAGGCCATATAACAAGCTTTCAGTTCAGGTCTCTGAATATCCTTGTACACACTTTTATTCTTTAAAAATTGAGGTAGAAAGAGCAGTATTCCAGACTAAAAGCAGGAGTGTAGACTAAGGGGAGGGATATGTAGGGTAGACAACTAGATGAGTGTTCAGTGTAAAAACTGACAGCTGGGCTGCGGTGGTGGAAGACACTGGTAAACTGTCTTTCATTTATTATTCCCATTTTTCTTTTTCTTTCTAGAAGATATGGCTGATATATCAGGCTACGTCTTCACCAGAGGAATGATCATAGCTGTTTTGATCTCAGTGGGAGTTGTGTGCCTAGTGATTATAGGTGTCATTTATAGAGTTGACTTGGCCCTATTTTATAGACATTGCATGGGAAAAGATGAAACATTGACAGGTAACGAATATTGGAATGCTGGGATTTCTTATCTCATGGCTTCATTAAGAAACCAAATAAAGAAACATTAATCTTCATTTCGTTTTGATTATATTGTTGTCTTAGTGTGGGGTAGAGGTTTCCATAGGAAAAATTGATTTGAACGTATCATTGTGAACGTTGTCTAGTATCATCTTTTTTTGTGTGCATACTTATATGTTGCCAAAAGTTGTTCTTTAATTGTTCTTTTTCTTTAATTGTTTTATACATGTATGTCATGTTCTCCTAAATGCCCTGTGAGAGGTTGTCATTATTCACACACAATCTGGGCATCTTATGCAATATGCACATTCAGTAAACTTCATATAAATGGAATTGCGTTGTTTTAACCTGTCAAAGGAGGCTGCATCATGTGTTTGCAAGAACCCTGTACTAGAAGCCGTATGATCTGGGTTCTAGCTTCCTAGATCTGTGTTTTTATCTATGGCTGTTTCTACTCGGTGATTCTGTGTCTCAGTTTCTCTATTTCTAAAGGTGCTTTAAAGAAGTTCTCTTGATACTTGATACTTGATCTCTTGATACTTGATACTTCTTTAAAGAAGTATCGAGGCCCATTACTGAATTATGTCAAGTATACTTTAATAAAAAAAAAGAAAATTACTGAATTAGAAATATCAGTCTAATCCATTGCACTTGTGTGTGTGTGTGACTCACATAGTTCAAAAAGCAAAAAGTCTAAGAAATGATACAGTAGAAAATTTCCCTGTCAGCCTGATATTGATTGATATTGTCAGTCTGTTATTGATAGTATATCCAAAATATATGAACATAGGATCAAATTTCACTCTCATTTTAGAAATAAATCTTGGGGGTGCCTGAGTGGCTCAGTTGATTAAGCATCTGCCATCTGCTCAGGTCATGATCCCAAGGTCCTGGGGTCAAACCCCACAAGCCTTAGTGGGGAGCCTGATTCTCCCTCTCTTCCTCACTTGTGCTCTCTGTTGCTTTCTCTATCTGTCTCTCTCAAATAAAGAAAATCTTTTAAAAAAAATACAAATAAAATAAAACAAGTTTTGGCATATTATGTACACTCTCCTGAACTTTGCTTCGCTATGCCTTGGATGCACTTCTCTATGAGTTCATAAAGTCCCTTATTTGTTAGAGTTGTACAGTGTTTTATTTCTGCAGATGTATCACTGCTTACTTGATCACCTTTTGTGTTTTTCACAACCTTTTGTTATTATGGAAGTGGTATGACGGATAGTTTTGTAGAGTCATCGTTTCATCTGTGTACAATATAACTAAAGGAAAAAGCCCCTAAGTTGGAATTGCTGTCATTATTAAAGAGCGGATACAGTTGTTAATTTGACAGACATTGCCAATTTGCCTTCCATACTACTATACTACTACCATCTTTAAAGAATGGGGGTAACTTTTTTCACATGGCCTTACCCACAACCTTTTGGCTACGTGCCAATCTGATAGGTAAAGTTATATCTCAGTTTATTTACATTGCACTTACTATGCAAGAGTGTGAGTAATTTTTCATCTGTTTAAGGCTCATTTGCATTTACTTTCTCAAAGTACTCATTCATATCCTTTGCCATTTTTCTATTGCGTTGTTGGCTTTTTTTCTTGTTTATTTTTAGGAACTATTTATATTTTAAGGAGGTTGACCTTTTGTCTATAATAGAGATAAAAATATTGTTTCCAGATTGTAATTTGTTTTTTGACTTTGTTTATAGTAGTGTGATATGTGGAAGACTTTTTTTATTATTCTTAAAGTATAATTGACACAGTGTTAGTAGTTTTAGGTATACTTTTTTTTAACATTATGGGAGATTTTTTTTAATGAACTCAAGTTTATCCTTTTATGGTTTCTAGATTTGTGGTCACAAGTAGAAATACCCTCCTAGCTTCAAGTTATGAAAAAAGTCTCATGTTGTTCCTGTGAGATTTTTCTAGATTCATTATTCACATTTACAGCTTTTAGTTAATAATATAAAATTAACAGAGCTAATTAATTCAGCTTTGAGCCTGCATGTATATGCAGTTTTGGAGATGGAGAGAAATGCTACAACCAGCTGAGAGGTTTATTTTTGGTACCTGTTGAACAGGTCTCTACTTGCAGTGCCATATCTCAAAATGGGCATTCACTAATATCTCTCTTTCTGATCTTCAACTAAGGTTTTTTTTTTCCTCTCTGTGGTGTTTGACCCAACTCACAGATAATTTGTTCAGTTCACACTTTCTACCTCCCAGTGTGGTGTGCATAGAAACATTTATAGATGTGATCTCCATCAGCTCCACTTAAAATGTGACCCATGACAGAGATCATTTGTGAAAAAGGCAGAAAGAGAGATATAAGTACAAAAATTAAAAATTTTGTAGCAATTTGATATTGCTGCAATATCCAAGAATGTTTTCAGTATTGGCGTATGAAGGATTGGAAATGAAAGAAACCAATCAACCCAAACCAGTCAAATTAAATGAAAACACGGTCATTCACCAAACACAGTTTGAGAAGCACTAGCCTTAGAGTCCCAAATAGCCATTCACATGAGGGTTTTGTTTATACAGGACCCAAAATAATTATTATTAGCTTTCAAATACCTTATCTTGAATACTTCACTTTGTCAGTTATCAAAGCCAGCAAACTCTTCAATTACCTGGGTTTAAAATAAATTTTAATATAAATTACAAGATTTGTTAAACCAGGAGGAAAATTGTTTGAAATTAGGCATTTGAAAGTTAATCAGTAGTTGAAAAACCATTTTTTCCATTTTTCATGGTAAGAGGAAAACTCTATTACTTATATATCACAACACAAATTTGACTGAATTGTCTTACTGGTTTTTAACAATTAGTATAACATCATGACTCCAAAAAATGTACCTTTTCAAAAAGTGTATTTATTTATTTCTTACATCTTGATGTCTGATCTAATTACTCACATAATGGCTACTAATGGAGGCACAAGCTCTGACACTATTAAATACTGTATTTCACAGCAATCTAGCAGAAGTACTTGGGGGACCCACTTACTGATTAAACTAGGAACTGGCTCTATTTTTTTTTTTTTACCAACTTTTCCTACCTTCGATATGCATGTTAATTCTCTAGTTTTTACTAAAATGTCCTTTCTTTTATATGCACGCAATCTGCCAAGCAGTTGTCTTCACTCAACGATAGGTTCTGACTTGAAGTGCTGAACCTCAATGTTGTAGGTAGAATTTAAGATTTACCCGAAATGGAAAGTGTTTTGTGATGCTGGACAGCACTAAAAATACTGGGCTGAATTGTGGACCATACGTGATGGGGCACCACAAGGAAAATGGCCCTAAAATGGTTTTGTCCTATTAGGTTTTGATAAAGGATCCAATAATATTTAGCTTTCAACTCAGCAGCAAATTCATAATCTCAGTAATACAATAATACAAGCATAAATCCAACCCCTGTACCATCTAACCAATTATCACAAGACAGGGATAGACCATTCCCCTCCCGCTTTCCCTTCTTCCTCTACCAATCTCAGGTAGCATCCATTGTATCATTTAGGACCTGACTCAGAATTTCCTTTTCTCAGAAAGTGTGCCCCTGGAGATCACTCCTTCCTCTATAACCACATTGATTCTGTTTGTTTTGCTTATTGTGCTACACTGCCTTGCATCTGCTCATGTGTTATTTGTAAATGTTTCCAGGTCGTTGTATTTGGCTGCTTTGTCTTCTCAGATAGATTGGATGAAGGTAGAAGAGAGAGGTATATATAATTTTGTGGTTACCCAGTAAGTACAATGGTTTTTGTTATTTAGGTAACACTTTGGTCTTGACTTTGTCCCATTAGCCTCCTGAATACTCCTTCATTATCAGGAATTAAAGAGGAGCAGGTGTTATTACCAATGAAAACCTTTCAACAGACCAGAAGTTTTCATATTGGCATCATGGGCCATATAGTATTTTTAATGTCACAGCATGTGTTGCTGTAGTGTAGTGTTTAAATCACCTCTCTTGTTTCTTCCTGCTCACCAGTGTAAATGCTCAGCTTTGTTTCTTTTTTCTAATAATAAATTTACCTTTTATTGGTGTTCAATTTGCCAACATACAGAATAACATCCAGTGCTCATCCCGTCAAGTGCCCCCCTCAGTGCCCGTCACCCATTCACCCCCACCCCCCACCCTCCTCCCCTTCCACCACCCCTAGTTCGTTTCCCAGAGTTAGGAGTCTTTATGTTCTGTCTCCCTTTCTGATATTTCCTACCCATTTCTTCTCCCTTCCCTTCTATTCCCTTTCACTATTATTTATATTCTCCAAATGAATGAGAACATATAATGTTTGTCCTTCTCCAATTGACTTATTTCACTCAGCACATGCAGAAGAATGAAATTAGACCACTCTCTTTCAACATACACAAAGATAAACTCAAAATGGATGAAAGATCTAAATGTCAGCCTTGTTTCTGTCTTTGTATTTCCTAGGGGTCATTTTGAGGGTAGACATATTGGGATGCTGGTAGAATTAGGTGATACGAGAAAGCCAAGGTGAGATTTGTTTTCTACTCCTGGAACAAGGACATATTTGGGCTCCTTGGCCTTTTATTGCCCTTAAATTCCTTTACTTCCTGGATCCTATGTCTTTTATTTCTCACCATCACTCTATGGTGTCAAACAGTGAGAGTCTTACAGTCCATGCTTAGAAAACACTTTGCTAATTGGTTGCTTGATTAGCATTTGACATTTGCACATACTATTTTTTGTTTGTCTTTAATAATAATTGTATTTATTTCTTGGTTTTGATAATTTGAAAAAAATCAGAGATAAAGAATAATGCCTAAAAAGAATCAGAGCCAAAAAATACTTGATGGACCCTATGAATTACCTAGTTTAAATATTCTTGTTCTATTTTTCATTGGTCTTCTAGCAAAAATATTTTCTGTGTTCTTTTTTGAATGCTTCATTGAACTCTAATCGAAATACAAGGAACTCCACATATTTAATGAGTATAATTTGATGAGTTTGGGCAAGAGGAGGCTCTATTTAATTTTTCCTTTTCAATGGTTCCACTTCCATTTTTCGTGACTTTCATTCAAATTTGTACTTAAACTTTTATTTACACTGTAATATTTAAAAGATTAAAACTTATTTATCCTAGATGGGAAAACGTACGACGCTTTTGTGTCTTACCTAAGAGAATGTGGACCTGAGAATGGAGAGGAGTACACCTTCGCTGTGAAGATCTTGCCCGAGGTGTTGGAGAAACACTTTGGGTATAAATTATGCATATTTGAAAGGGATGTAGTGCCTGGAGGAGGTAAGAAAGGGAATACCAGATAGAAAACTAGTGGAGAGATTTTCTTTTTAAAAGATGAATAGTTTAGCCTTACAAAAGGCAATCCTGGTTTGTTTAAAAGCAAAGGAATGAACATGATTCTCTAAACCAGAGATAACCAGCTAAATCGGTATAATCAATAGTGAGAAAACAAACTAACTACATTGCTTCTGAGAGTGGCATCTCTGGGGTTGGCCCTTTTACTGGGCTTCCTTTTCCCCTTTGGGGAAAGGTTGAGAGATGAGTAGGGTGACCCGCAGGGTCTGAAATATTCACTATCTGGCCCTTTACAGAAAGTTTGTCGGCTTCTGGTCTGGAATAATGGGATATATAAATATATATTATATATATATATATATATATAATTATGATTTCAGTGTGCTCCTCCCTGCCTTTGGAGAGGCAAGGTAACATCACGATTAGAACAGGTTCTCCAGAAGCAGACCACCTGGGTTCTGATTCTGATTCTGCCTTATACTAGCGGTGTGACTCTGGCTGAGTTACTTAACGACTCTGTACTTCAGCTTCCTTATCTGTAAAATGGTGGTGATAACAATACTTTCTTCAAAGGCTTATTGTGATGCTTTAATGAGTTGACTGATATAAAATAAAACATTTAGAAGAGTGTGGCACAGAGTAAGTGCCAAGTGTTCAATATTACTGTTACCTAGATGGTTATTTCTAATAGGTATACAAAATTGAGAATAAGTGGTTTGTCTTGAAAAACTTATTAGTGAAGTAAAGTTAAATAATACAAAATTAGACCATGCAAAATGATTTTCGTTTCCCATCTGCCCTTTTTGTTCTCCTTAATTACTATGCTAAATCTTGCATTTTCAGCTGTTGTTGATGAAATCCACTCATTGATAGAAAAAAGTCGAAGACTAATCATTGTCCTAAGTAAAAGCTACATGTCTAATGAAGTCAGGTATGAACTTGAAAGTGGACTCCACGAAGCACTGGTAGAAAGGAAAATTAAAATCATCTTAATTGAATTTACACCTGTCAGTGACTTCACGTTCTTCCCCCAATCACTAAAGCTTTTGAAATCTCACAGAGTTCTGAAGTGGAATGCTGATAAACCTCCATCGTATAATTCAAGGTTCTGGAAAAATCTTCTTTATCTGATGCCTGCAAAAATGGTCAAGCCATGTAGAGCTGAATCTGAAGACTTGACTGTTCTTTCAAAGTTCTGATCTTTAGGAAACCTGAATATAAGAAAGAACTCTTGATGCTCTGGGCCCAGAGTCGATGAACCTGTTTTTACCAAAGGGTACTATTAAAAATATTGACCTCTCTGAAAATCCTACTTACAGTTTGAAGATGAAAGCTGTCATTAGGTTGCCAGGAATAAGACTTGCTCCCAGGGAAACATGGAATTCAAAAGCAATGGATCTCCCGTTTCTCCCTCCTCCATAACTGGCTACAGGTGCTCATTCTCAATCCATATTCAGTAACTGTGAGGCTGGACACGGAGCAAAATACCTGTGCCTTATTAAAAGGGCATATCTTTATATTTTTAATATCAGTGATTGAACTAAAGGATTTTAAGTTAATGAAGAGCATTTTCTATGATCCAGTAGGTGACATAATAACGGGAATGGGGCCTTCACTGTAGCACAGGGCAGCCTACCTCTAAGCACCATGGACAGTGCCTGGGAAGTGGCAAAAGGCTGCTGGGGCTGTGTACATTAGGGGACCAAGGCGTGGCAGGGCCTCAGCCTCAGGACACATTTAATGTGTTTCAGCTGCAGCTGCAAGCAAAGCACTGAAAAGGGCTTGCTTAATTGGGCCTGTTTGGAGGGAACTTCCCCAAATTGTTTTATTATTCATGAAAGACACACATTTTAATTAAGGTAATTCTGTTGGGTTTTTCAAAACTGGCCTAAAACATTTATTTATTTAACAGGTATGTTTACAGGCAGGGTAGATGCCAAATCATATTTTCCATATTAGCCATTAGTCACTATTATCTGTTAGCCACAGTAAATTATGGTAGTTACTTGCTTGAATTTTTTAAAATGACATATTTAACATGCCTTTAAAGTGGAGGTGGCATGGCATGATGGTTGAGCATGAGCCATGCACTCAAGTCACTCGAGCTCAAATCCTGGGCTTGCTACTTACTTCTGTGAACCCCTAGAACCTTTTTTTTTTAATTCACGAGTGACACAGAGAGAAAGAGAGGCAGAGAGAGAAGCAAAGAAGTAGACTCCATGCAGGGAGCCTGATGTGGGACTCAATCCCAGGACTCCAGGATCACTCCCTGGGCCAAAGGCAGGTGCCCAACTGCTGAGCCACCCAGGTGTCCCCCATAGAACCTTTTGAACCAATCTGTGCCTCTATTTCCTTATCTGTAAATTATAATTTATAGTAATTTTACTTCACAGGGGAACTAAATGACTAAATATAAATAAAGTACTTACAAGAGTTCTTGGCACAGACTTAGAAGTGTATGTGTGGTTAATTCTATTATTATTATTAATTGTCACTATTAATTGTTATTATTGTTAGATGAGTTATTTAGCAGTGAATGAAAATGGAAGGCAGAGATCTGGAAAGAAAAAGCGATCTGGAAGGAAGGCAGTTTTGACTTGAGGACATTTGTATATAGAGAGAAGCGTATCAGTAGGGTAAAAGATATTTCTCCATTAGACACATGAAACTTTTGACACTGGAAGACATGTGTCTTATCTCCCCCAAAGGTGAGCCCAGCACTGTGGGTGGGCCTTCTTGGTGGCCTTGGCTATCATGGCTGTCCGTGGGAATCACTGAGTGAGGGACAAATATCCGCCTTACACAGAAAGTAGAGTTGGGTAAATCTGGAAGCCTGGTTAAAATACATGGTTGCAGCATGAATGTCCCAGAAAGGTTTAAAGCAGACTGTTTAAAACAGCTGTGGTGGAGGGGCACCTGGGTGGCTCAGTGGTTGAGCATTTGCCTTAGGCTCAGGGCGTGATCTTGGAGTCCCGGGATCGAGTCCCACATCGGGCTCCCTTCAAGGAACCTGCTTCTCCTTCTGCTTATGTCTCTGCCTCTCTCTGTGTGTCTCTCATGAATAAATAAGTAAAATCTTAAAAAAAAAAGCTGTGGTAGATATTGCTGAAAATTTTTAAAAACCTGAGATTAGATTTTCAGTGTGAGAAAGAGATTTACTTTTTATAGAACTTAAAATTTTGTGGGCTAGTTGGGTGGCTAAAGTAAAAAAATTACTAGTTTAATGTTTTATGTGTAAAAAGATACAGTTTAGGGAAATTTTATTGCTATCATCAGAGTCTCTAATACATAGACTGATTTTGCTTTTATATTATGTATGCTATAAAATGTATTGAGTGTATTTTGTATTAGATGTGTTAAATATATGCTTTAAAAGACATTTAAACCATTGGTCTAGTGCCCTTAATTTTGAGATGTTTCTTGATGCCTTTGTCACTTACGTGAAGATTCCACTTTCTCACTCTCAACATAGATTCCCACCTGTTTTAATAAGGTATGAGTCATTCAAAACAGACTCCTATATCTATCTTCTTCTGCTTTTTTTTAAATGTCAGATTCTTTGTATCTACCTTCTTGTTGTACCTTCCAACCAGGAGCACAAGGAGATTTTCCTCCTACAAAGCCATGAAACCACTCAATACCCAGCACAAGTACTAGTTCTTCACAAGCCAATGCCTTAATGCATGTGGATATTTTTAAGTTTAAGACAAACAGTTCCAACCAGGACCAACAAATAACTGTTACTGATAGAATAACAGCATTCTCTTCTGTGGATTCAGATGACCTTAAACTGTGGGGTCCCTTTCAGAGAATCAGTAAACAGCCCGCTCTGTGAGATGTATAAAATATTCCATGTACATTTATTATGTACTGAAAATGTTTATTAAAATAAAGTTATATTCTCTTAAAGGAAAGAGAGAGCTTATTACCCACATAGTTCAAACACAGGAGCCTGAAATGTGCTAAGTCCAGGGACTTGACCCAGGTCACACAACTAGCTAGTCAGATGGGGGCAGAGAGATGTATTGTCTCTTCTCTTGGGAGTTGCCTTTTGGACAGTGAGTCTTGAGAGAAGTTTTTGGAGGGTGCAGGCACTTTCCTGGGACGGCCCCTTATACTAGAGGTGTCTAGAGCAGAGCCTGCCAAGAAGAAGGATGGCTGCCTAGGACTAGCTCAGAGGAGGAAAAGGAGTATCAAGGATCTTCAGCCTTTCTTCTAGGTTACTACGGTAAGGATGGAGGGTGGGTATGGGAAATAGCACCCAAGACCTCCACAGGATGAAAACGTACACTTGACTGGAGCATGTCCACTATGGCATCTGCCAAGATACAGGGAGTTAGACCTCTGATGGGTACTAGGAGCTCACACTATATTGATGCCAATGGGTTGGCCAGTTGGTCAGTGAGGTGCAGAGAGGATGAGCTTCCCTGCAGCTATCAACATACTTGTCTGAAGCAAGGACAATGACAAAACCAGTGCCCAAGATCAAGTCAATTTGTAGCTTTAAATACTAGGAGGAAATAACTGAAGTGCAGCTCCGAGGAAGGAGACTCAGCCTCTGGGGGAGGCCATCTTTCTGAGCAGAGGCTACTCTGTGAGGGGAGCTCAGGAGCAATGGAGGGCTCTTCAAAGAGTAAGGAAGCCACAGATCTAACAGGAAGCAGTGTGTATGAGCTGTGGGCAGGCTACAGGGTCCTTCCTGCATGCTACACCGGTAATGATCATAGGGCAGGGGACTCCGAGACCAACATCTGTATTTCTGTGTCAAGTTTGTGATGATAAGCTTTTCTCTCTTTACAGCCTATCTTGCAGTTGCTCATATACACCCAAGAGGTGTGATTTATGTTATACCCATTTATACATCAAGATATACAAGCTGATGTGTGTGCTTAATAATTAGTGGTGAACATGTTAAGGATAGACTTCCAGATTGTGTTTTGAATGTCCTGGGGCTCCTCGTGGTGCCTTAGGGACCACCTTGGGCAGTGGGATGGAGTGAGTGGGAACACAGGGACTGCGCCCAGTCTTCTTCCCCCTGCCAGTTCCTTCCAGATGCCTCAATTAGAGCAACACTGCTTTTATATATTTTTATGTTGAGGTTCCACACAGCAACTGTATTTAACAAAACAAAATACCGCTGAGTAGGTCATGGTTTAGATCAAATGAACATAATCCTCTCTAGCTAGCTGAAACAGAAACAGTTCTAGACCTGTTTAGAGAGGGAAAGAAACAGATCCTGGGCTAATCTTCCAAAGCCACACAAAAAAACTGGATTACCAAAGGAGCTGCTGATCCTACCACAGACACGAAGAAATCTGTGGAATCAGGAAGCTCCTGCTGTAGCTGCCAGCTCCTGAGCTAGTCTGGCATTGAAGTTGAGGGAAAGCCCCATACCGTGGAATTGTCAAAGGGTGAAAAAGCCAATTGTTTCTGGATACCTAGGTCTACCAGGAGTCAACATAGTTATTAATTAGCTTTATCCCACAATAAAATAGCCTCAGAATAATTTATAATACTGACATAGCCATCTATATTTTGCTTACTGAAAACAATCCAAGATTTTTGGGGGTGGTACTATTTTATACCTTGAGAATATCCCATTAGAATATAATAAAGTCAAGCTCTTGCATTCTGGAGTCATGTGACATTAGTCCTCTTGATGTAGTTTTGTCAACTCAATAAATAGTTAAGTTTCTTTGATTCTGATTTTTAGGAATTGCTTCTTAAAATTTTGTTTTGTTTTATTATAACGTAATAATGGCCTTCAAGAGCAAATCTGTAAAATAAAAGCAAAGTCAATATGCCCTTCCATTTTTATTATAAAGATACATTCATATTTAAATCCTCTCACTTCTTACAGATAAACAGTAGTGTATTACATACAATTTTTCTACCTTGCTTTCCCATTTCATAATACATTCAGAGATCATTTCCCATTTGCGTGTGGTGCCACTTCTCATTCTTTCTTACAGATACATGACACATGATTTGTGACTGTACAAGTTTATTCAACCAGTCTCAAATGTTTCCAGTCTTTTGCAATTTTACATTATGTTATAAAGAATAGTCTTATGCATACATTTTCTCAAATTTTGGCTAGAATATTTTGGGGATAGATTTCTAGATGTCGCATCTCTGAGTCAGAGAGTAATGCATATGTACTTTGGCTTAATATTGCCTTTTCATAGGGCTTAGGGCTTGTCCTTTTGCATTCCCATTAGCAATGTAAGGAATACCTACCCTTAGCTTTTGCCAGTTTTTCTGTAAAGATATTGATCTTTTTCATCTCTGTTGTTAGAAGATTTTTACATATAAGCTATTAAGACACTGCAATGTAAGTTGCAATGTAAGTTGCAAATATTTTGTTTTCCTGATCTATCACTTGTATTTCTGATTTGCATTGGTATTTATCCATTTCCTGATTATAGAGGAATTTACCCATTCTTCCAATACTTGTATATATTCACTCTTTAACATTTAAATATTTAATCCAAGTCACAAAATCAACAGGGATTCAAGGACAGGGAAAATAGACCCTATTTCTGGACATGTGAGGCAGAATACACATGAGGGGAACAGAGGAATTGATGGCCACCATTTTGGGAGACTATCCCCACAAAGCCTACATTGGGATAGCCCATGTCCTGAAAACCTATCCAAATCCTATTAAAGTGATTAAATTCAGTGTCCAGGTCTGTATTAGGAACTCTACACTTTAGGACTATTCCCACACTCCAATTCACTTAAATCCAGTTCAATTCAACAGTTACTGAATACCTGTCATAAACAACACCTTATGTTTAACCTTCTCCTTCCGTCTACCCATATCTCCTCCCACCCCAGGTCTGCTGCCTTTCTTCCTGCTGCTCCCACAGGACACTATGAGCCTGGAGCTTCACACACCTGAAATATCCTTTTAGCTGCTTCCTCTGACCTCTTTTGGAATAGGTCTGAGAAAAGCAGTCACACTGTTTTGGAATCCCAGGCAGATTTATGATCAGTGGCAGATCCTTTTGGGGGTCCATTTCTGGCTATAGTTGCTGATTCTCTACCTTCCTACCCTCACCTCAGGTCAACA